GTGGGGGGAGTGGGGGCGGGGGGGGGGCAGGGGGGGGGCAGTGGCCGGGACAAACCGTGCTTAATCCCCCCCTCCTACCGGTGGTGCTCAACCCCCCTCCCCGACTGGCCTCCCCGAAAGTCTCGTGTGGGTTCACGTTGGGAAGGAAGGCCCTCCCCCTGGGCCCCCTCTCTCTCTGTCTCTCTCTTTCCCCACATCCTGCCCTGACACCCTCACACCCCCTTCCAGTACACAGCTCAGGCGCCCGCGGGAAAAGCCCTTCTTTCAGCCCCCACCCAGCCCCACCTCCGCCACTTCCGGCTTCCTGAGCAGCGCCGCCCCCATTCCCCCCTGCAGACTGAACTGCTTGGGGCAGCCCATGTTGACATCCAGGGCCCCAACATCACCAGCCACCACACTGACGGCTCGCAGCGCACCAACCGCCTCCGCCGTACCCAACTGAAACACCAGACGCGGGCGCTCCGAAGCGCTGGTGCGGAACATCAGCTGGCGGGGGAGGGGGGGTGAGGGGGTGAGGGGCCTTAGTGGAGGGGACGGGGGAGGAGGGGAAAGGCGAACCACGAACGAGTGAAGCTGCTGCCAAGGAGCAGAACTGGCCAGTAGGCGTTCTTGAAGGCGGCCACCGACCTCGGGAGGATGTGATGAAGACGACCGCGGAAACCTACCTACCTACCTACCTAGCCGCCAAGATTAAAGTAAGAGCGGAATAAAAGTAAAACGAAGCCGTAAGGAAGAAAAGGTAGGTGTACAGGCGGCGAAAAACTAGTAAGCTGACGTAAGCTTGAAAAGAATATTTGCCGCCGGCCTGGCGGCGGCATTTACGAGATACTAGCAAATCCGGCTGATTAGCTGCTGGTGATAAACAGCTGGTGGTATGCAAGTGCTCCTCCCAACCCCAAACACGCGCCCAACCCGACCGACCCAACTATCCTAGTCCGGCCAGCCGACCGACGCAACGCGATACACCGACAAAGCTCGAACCTCCTTCGGACTCACCTGGCCAGGCAGCAGAAGCGGCAGAGGCAAGGGCGCATGCGAGGCAGAGAGGTTGCAAGGTTGTGAGCAGCGAGCGATGAAAAAGTGAACGCACGAACGCATGAACGTATTAATGTTCTGGCTGACTAGGGAACCCGGAAATAAGAAGCCCTAAAAAACCTATGTGAACGCGGAGAACTACAAAGAGAACAAAAAAGCAAAGGCGACGCAGGACGACACAGAAGGTGTCGTACTTGATGACGGAATTGACAAGGTGATGCCGCAATGGATGACGCGGAGGGGAGGGGAGGGGAGAGGAAGGACACCACCACTTGCAGCCCCCGAACAACGTAAGGACGGAAGTGAGCCCCTACCCAGCAGTGACACTGGGAGTACGACCCAGCCAACCACCAGCGCCACCACTGTCCCTCCTCCCCGCAGCCCCCAACGGAAGTGACCCACCCACCCGGCCGCCCTGCTCGCCACCCTTGTCCAGAAAGTCAACGGTCCCGAGCGCCTCGTTGACCCGCCGTACGGAAGCGATGACGCGTTTGTCAACGAGCTCCTCGCTATACACGATGTCGGCGCCATACCTGGTCTCGTACGGCAGGCCATGACACGTTCAATGTATCATGTATCATTAAATGTACGGCTATCGTATCGTTTCACCGCGGGACAAGGCGGGGCAATGTATGTGGGCCTTGTGAACAAGGAGCTGCAACAGGGGCTGTAGCAGCAGCAGTGGCAGCATGTGGGACGCGGGTCGAGGGGGAGGTCCCGGTGCAGAGTGCAAGATGCGGCTGGGGGTCGGGGAGGGAGTGGAAAGCAAGTGCAAGGACCAGAGGGTCAACTGCCGACATCCTAGTGGGTGTGAAGGGAATGACGCCTCGGTCCGCATCCACAGACCCTAGTGCAGCCCCTTGGGAGGGAAGGGGGGAAGCTTTATATCAGGATCCCCCTTCAGTGCTTATGGAGAGCAGCCGGGGCAGGAGGCGAAGGCCTCCAAATGTATATTGCCAGCCCAGCTAAGCCGCTGGATTCCGCTTATGATGTTGCCGCTCACCCAGCGGTCAGTAAACGCATGGGATAAGTGCCCACCCGCACCATCGGTGCGAGGATGAGCTTTCCGTCGTAGTCCATTGCGGAGTCGGATGGCAAGAAAGTGTGCAAGACTACGGTTCTGGCATTGCTACCTTTATGCTGGCAGTTTCCTGAATGTTGCGCAACTGTTTACGCATAGGTTATGCGTGCGAATGTGCGGCGGCTACGAAGTTACACTTATCGGATGCACGGCAACAACTCCCGTGTAACAATGTCAATGATTGGAAGGAGATTGTGTACCCCACATGTCACTCTTGTGTTATAAGCTATGACATGTTTGATGCATTTAAAGCTTCGTTTCCCTGTTCGCTGTCAAAGGCTGTCCACCTAGAAATGGAATACGGCTGCGTTTCAAGACTATATGATTTTGTTTGATGATATGGCCTTAGATAATGTTGCATCATCTCTTGATTAGGGTCACGGCCCGCTGGCCTGTAGAGTGAAACTAAGCTGGGTTGCAGCTTACCAGCCTTTGCGCCTGCCTCGGACCCAGTGATGGAGGAGTTTTGGGACAACAACGGTCCGTATGCGCTGGCCAAGCTTGCTGACAGGCTGGTAGGTCAACGACAGCACGGCATAGTGAAGCTTCCCTTGCAGCATCCCTTGGCTGCTTTTTATAACTCAACGCAATCTTAATCGGTTTCAGGTTCCTATACCACGTGACAATGAGGCCCAGGTCTCTCTTTATGCGTTGTGCCGGGCGTGGGTGCGGAACAATCCCACGCTGCCCCTGGTGGCAGAAGCAGCGCCTCCGCAACCAGCAGAACCGAGGGATGCAGCGGTGCGGGCTGGAGGCTCTGCTGGGTCAACAGCAGACGGCGACGGGCTGCAGGTGACTTCCTGCCTGAGGGGCGCGGACCGCCACACAGCTGTCGACTGCAAACGTGGATGGCTGATTTGTGACAGCTTGTGACTCACCCTTGTGACCAGCTGCTCAATATTGCCGCGTCCTGGCGTCGTGTCGTGATGGCAGCTGTGCGGTGTAAGCACGAGCGGATAACCCAAATGCGCTGCCGCTGGTAGAGGGCGCCGGCCTTGCTCAGCTAACATCGCCGCACTCCCAGTTATCACCCCCAAGTGAAAGGGCCGGGTTGATGGACTGGGTGCATTAAGTTCGGGAGATGCAATCTCGTGCAATTTGCCATGCTCCGGCAGGCACCCGCATGGGATTGACATATTCATCAGCCCTCTACATAGTCCTGGGCTGGCTCCCTAATCCTCAACCCTCTGATAACAGTCCGGTGAAAAGAGCTTCAGACAGCACTCCCTCCGCTCTTCAGCCTATCTATGCGCACTGGCCGCGGGGCTGTAGCTACCCAGCCTTTTACCTGGATGAGGGCTGTTACGCACCACCATGCAGAGCGCTGCCGAAGGTAATGCTCACGGCCCCTGGCCCTCCATGCCCTTTTGACAGGCCACCCCTCAACCGCTGCCACCGCAACAGCAGCAGCACCCGGACCCACAGCAGCAGCAGCCTCCGGCGGCACCGCCACCCCAGCCACCGGCCCATGACCTGCAGCCCAACGGGCTGCTCAGCATCCTGCCACCGGTGCTGCCGCCTACGGCCCTGGAAACAGAGACAGCACCGCCCACCTACCCGCTAGACGATTTTGAAGCACTGGAGCCGGAGGTGTGATTCTTAGCTGATAGCTCACCTAGCTGCTGTAACCAGTCCCGCGCTGCAGCGCTGCAGCTCAGTAGTGGTAGCCGTGGTGGTGCGTGCTGCATGCGCCGCTGCCTTTTGTAGATCCGAACAGTTGCCGATAGAGCAGCGCTGACAGAGAAAATTGGTGCATAGCAAATGGAATGCGAGGTGGTGCGGCAGCGCTAGTTGTTAAGCGCTGCCTTCAGGTGTGCAGGTGGGGTATTAGTACCATCGCGGCCGTTAACGGTGCGGTGGCCAAGCTGTGACGAACGCGGAGCAGGGGCCCTATGGTTGACCTCTTTGATGGGGCCATCCGGCGGCCAACTGAGGCAGGGACCTCTGTGCCTCCACAGCTGCCTGGGTGGCTGGGATTGAGCTTGGCTGAGCTCCTGGCGTGCGGCTTCCGCTTCGCTGTGAGCTTGCGGGTTGCCCCATTTCACGGTTTCCCGCATTTTCGACACCTACATCTCCTGGACCCCACACATCCCCTACCTCCTCCCCTCTTGCTTCCGCCTCCTGTCGGCACATGAACCTGTACTGCTGCTGTTGCCCCTCCGGCCGCCCTTTTGCCATGCCCTGTACATCCGTACATCCTCTCCCCAGGAGGCCCTACGTAAGTTTAAGCAGCACTGGGTGGCGGTACGGCAGTACCATCAGGCCCTCCGAGCAGCCAAGTTGTCCCGCCACCGTGAGCGCTTGGTCGCCCTGCTGGGGGAGCCCTCCTCCCTGATGCAGGTGCAGCAGCAGCCGGGGATTCAGATACAGGCAGCAGCAGCAGCAGCAGCAGGGAGCACCCTGGTGACTGCCAGTCCGCACCAGGTGAGCGCCCTCATGCAGCAGCAGCAGCACGCCGTGATGGCTTTGCCAGGGCAGGTACCCCCAGCGGATCAAGTGGCGAGCGGCGGTGTATCTGGCCTAGCAGCATTCCAAGGGTCCGGACTCGGAACGGGGCTGGGGCCAGGGGCGGCGGCGGGGCTGCCACCGGGCGCGTCGGGTGGGCCAATGTCCGGCGTTGCGCACTTTGGCATGGGGGACGCCGCAGGGGCGCCCGCAGGGCCTGGGACCGGACTTAACTCAGCAGCGGATGCGCATGCAGCTCTGGCAACCCTGATGAGTTTGAGCCAGCCGATACCCCGGGAAGGGGGGGACGCGTCGGGGGCAGGACAGCAACAACATTCTCCGCAGCTACTGCACCTGCAGCAGCACCAAGCCCCATTGGGCGTTGTGGTGGGAGGAACAGCGGCGACGGCAGCTGCACACGGCCCCATGATGGGCCTGCCGCCTATAGGTGTTGTGATGGCGCTGCAGCAGCAGCAACCGCCGGCGCACTCCGCCACGGGTGGCGGTTCTGCACCCGGCAGGCAACCTGTAGCAGGGGCGCCCGGGCAGCATTCCGCCATGCTGGGACAGCTCTCTGCAGCTGAGGCGGTGGACGCCGAGGTCGACCAAGGGCACGACCAGGGGCAGGGACAGGGGCAGCAGCCCGCAGTGGCGACAGGAGACGCTGGTGGTACCAATTTGCCTGGTCCGTCAGAGGCGCAGGAGGCAGCTGAGACGGCGGCAATGGAGAAAGGGCAGCAGGCACCTGTGCCGTTGCAATGCATGGATATCGACTCGAGGCTGCCGAACGGCTCGTAGTGCAGCAGTTAAAGGAGGTCGTGAGTAGCAGTGTAGGTGAACTGGGAAACATCCACTCGCCCTACAGTCCACAACCTACTTCCTGGAGGGGAGGGGCACTGAGATGACGCTACCAGGATGGCGCCGTGGGGGAACCTTACTGTCCCGAGCTGCATGGGGCATGCCGGCGGTGTAAAAGAGTTGAATCCGCGTGAGTTGCACGTTTAGGCGGATTCTGCACCTGGATGCGAATGTGTGGGGACTGGCTGAATGGGTTTTGGCAGGGGCTCTGCGCACTGCATGGGCTGCATTGAGAATTGAAATTTTTCGCGGTGTCTGTAAAGGAGTAAGGTGGAAGATGGGGGGCTGGCTATGAGCACTGCAGGGGGGTGTGAGGTGCGGCTTTCCTTACATCCGTGGATGGAGGCTATTCGTTTGGTAATCTTGCCCATGGTGGGGAAAGGTAATGGATACCTGCCGCTCTACGTGCTGCTCTCGGGCGTGAAGCAGTGGGGCTTCCCGGGGTCCGCATGTCGTCCATGCTGATCCGTCTGCACACCGAATATATGGGCGCCATCCATGTTCTGTAGGGTCGAATGCACGGTTTTGGGATAACAACAAAACCTTCACAGACATTAAGTTTGGTATTGCGTTTCGGCGCACTAGGGTTTATACGCTTTGATATGTACCATCGGCATCTTCTTAGGCATGAGGATGGGTTCATGTATACGGGTGTGTAAGTCCACTCTTAGGTCGCAATCGCAAAGGCAGATTTCGTTCGTGCCGACCTTTCTACAATGGTGAAGGTCCTTATTAAGTACCGTTACGGCTATAAATCAAAAAGCCACCTATCACATGATGGCGAGTTTAAGAACAGGATGAGCAGTTGAACCCTTTCAAGATCACAGACACTCCGGCAGCAGTTGCCGGCAGCGGTTATGTACCGTTTAAACTCAAGCCAGTCACAACTTATTAAGATTGTACATGCATCGGGCATCTTCTGCATTTAAGATTATTCAAAAGATCAGCAACCCTGTTTCAAACCCACAGCAAATCACCTTATGGACAGGTTTCCATTGCAATCTAGCCCTAACTGCTGTCGTGGCGCCTCAAAATGACATTGCTGCATGACATGGCGATTTTTAATGAAAAATAAAGTAGCAGCTGGAGCACGTAACTACAATACTCGAGTATTTCCGCAGCTGGACGAACAAACATCTCTTCAAAAAATCTCCGCAATTAACCAACGTGTTACCCTGGAGACAATTGACGCCGGCCTCCCCATGCGGAAGTATCGATGCCCGCCCAGTTGTTTTAGGTTCCTCTTGTAGATTGTACATGGCCAACTTTGAACCAAGGTCTTGGGGCCGGACATTTTCGGTGTTTCCATCTCGTATGCAATTGTTTTGCCTTAAGCATATTTTACAACGAACGGACCAGCTGACGCGTTCTCTGCGCATGTAAACTGTGGCAAACTTCCCGCCGAAATTGGAGCCCTAATTCTTGCCGCGGGTGTCGAATTGGCTATCATTTAATTGAAATCGTAAGCCCCTAAAACTTTCACCTGAACGGCAACTCGGACACTGTAACTTGCTCGCAACAGCCCGAGCCGCGCCACTTGCAGTAAGGCAAGACTGAGGTAGAGACCAACATGTCAGCAACTGAAAGCTATGTAATTAAATATAACAAATGGAATGCGCAAGGCGGCGCTCCGGATTCGGACTGTGACGAGCAACATATTTTCGGTTATCTGCAGGGCCCTACGTCGTACCCCGTGAGGACTCGGAAGGATAACGTGTATCCGCGCATGGGATGCAGTAAATTGTAGTTATCGACGGCTATTAAGGCCGGTTGATGGAATTTCTTATTGCGTCGGGCGTCTCTACGTCGGTTAGGGCTTTCGCTTAGTTCCGATACATTGATCGACAGCAACCTGAACTAATGGCGCAAACGATCGGGCCGGCGGCCCTTCCTGGGATGCATGGCAGTCTTCATGTAGGGGGTGTCGTGCAACAGCAGTCGCAGCTATGGACGCCTTCCTTGCAACAACGGCCGGGCAAGGCCGCAGCCGCCGGCAACGGGAAGGGCTTGTCACGTAACAGTGCTGCCTCTTATAGGCCCAAACATACTGTCCAACCGCGATGGCTTCCATGTGGTCCAGGCCTAGGCAGCCGCCTCGTCCTATGTGACGCTCATAGTTCCATCCCGGAGCCGGCCGGGCTGTTCAACCCCGAGAACGACCGGGATGCTTGCGGTGTGGGGTTCGTTGGCGAACTCTCTAAGCAGCCATCTCGCAAATGCATCAAGGATGCTCTTATGATGCTTCAACGCATGACACACCGCGGTGCTTGCGGGTGTGAGGCCAACACGGGTGAGATTTGTCGACACAAGGGTGCAAGCCCTGCTGATAACAAGTAGGAAACCTAACTTCCTTTTTGCTAATTGTAAATTGTTTGCTGATATGTAATTTCTTTCGTGCTTAGCTTCAGCCAAGTCACAAAACCACTTTGAGCGCATGTTGCAAGCAAGAGTTGCGCTGTCCGAAACGTTCAGCTGTACATGCATGTATATGTACTCTTGTTTGGCGTGCTATGTTGTCCTTATTATGAGGAATTTAGCAAGTAGGTGCGCTTTTGACGGAAGCTTTGTCGTTATTTTGCAGGTGACGGAGCTGGCATCCTGGTGGGCATGCCAGACGGATTTTTTCAAGCCGTCCTTATGGAGGAGCAGGGCCTGAAGCTCCCGCCGTTGGGCGCCTATGCAGTTGGCCAAATGTTCCTTCCGCGCGACGAGCCGTCGCGGCAGAAGGTCAAGGATATTGTTGAATCGGTGGCCATTAAGCTCGGACATGTGTCCCTAACCTGGCGCTCAGTTCCCACCAACAATCGGGCGCTAGGCCGTTCGGCGCTTAATACCGAGCCAGTGATTGAACAATGGTTCATCACAAGCACGGGGAACCACGCAGCACTGGAGATCGAACAGCAGGTAGATTAATACCTTGGCACCTGGCCGACTGATCGAAAATACCCAGCGTGTGTGCATGTATCGCTTCATGGCTTACGAAAAGGTCCCACTGCCTGCCCAACTGTCCCGCACAAAACCGTAATTGCTCGTCCTGTGGTCAGTGGTTTTTCAGGACTCTCCGATCTTTTTTCTTAGGGTTTCTTACATCGTTGAATCCCATGTGATTGCAGATGTTTATCCTGCGCAAGCTGATTGAGTACAACCTGCGATCTGAGGGGATCCGCGATGATGATGCGTATTTCTGTTCGCTGTCGTCCAAGACAATTGTCTACAAAGGGCAGCTCACACCCGAGCAGGTATGCGTCAGGCATAAGGGTCCATCTCATGTCGTCTCATCACCGGGGTACACTGGTGGGCGGTTTGCGCTGTAGGGTGGCTTACTACCCGCGACACTTCCCCGCTAAAGCATTAGACTATCCGTTCGTCTGGCACCCACGACGTCCTCCTGCTCCCCTTTACATCTTATGATGTGATGTCAGGTCCGTGTGTACTTCAAGGACCTTCAGCGCGAGGACTTCCGCTCCTACATGGCCCTGGTGCACTCGCGCTTCTCCACAAACACCTTTCCCAGTTGGGCGCGCGCCCAGCCTATGCGGCTGCTTGGCCACAACGGAGAAATTAACACGTTGCGGGGTAATGCCAACTGGATGCGCGCGAGGGAGGGTGTCATGGCCTGTCTGGAGCTGGGGCTGCCCAAAGAGGTGGTGGAGCAGGTAAGGGCCGAGACGGCCGCGTGGCCGCATTTCGTCGTATCTGGTGTTGGCGTTTTATTTGTGGGGGCACAAAATATACCTGTGCAACCCGATGTTTTCCCGTGCACCCGAACTGGATGTGGGTCGATGACTGTGTGCTGAAACAGCGTACTGAGCGACAACGCTTCTCCAGCGCGCTTGCGTTTAAACTCATAAAACCCAACATATTTGAGCCCAGAAATGAAATTAAGATTGTATTTCAGAAGTTGGGCAAGCCGTACTATTGGTTATCCTACTAAACCTACTGTTGCTACTCGCACTCGATTTGCGCTCGCAGCTGGAGCCCATCATTCCCGCCACCAGCAGTGACAGCGGAGCTTTCGACTCCGTGTTGGAGCTGCTAACCCGAGCAGCTGGCCGCGACATGCCCGAGGCTATGATGATGCTGATTCCGGAGGCCTGGCAGAATGACCCGCTGATGTCCAAGGTGGGGGAACGATTGGGTAGTGAGGTGGAGTGGTAGGGGTTGGGGTGATGATGATATGGGACGGGTCGGACCGACCCAAATGGTGACACAAAAGAACGTTGTGACTCTAGAGGTCTGGGAGGTGGCAGCGGCCCTTTCATCCTGCTCACGGGGACTGCTTGTTTCAGCTGAGAGCTGACCTTGTACCTCCCGCCCGCCCGCCGAATCCCGCAGGAGAAGAAATCCTTTTACCGCTACCACAGCGCCATCATGGAGCCCTGGGACGGCCCCGCGCTGGTGTCGTTCACGGACGGGCGCTACCTGGGCGCCACCCTAGACCGCAACGGCCTGCGCCCCGGTCGCTACTACGTGACCAGTGGGGGCCGCGTGATCATGGCAAGCGAGGTGAGGGGGTGAGGGTATTGGACATGAACGAGATGATGTGGCCAAGTTGCCAGTCGTGGAAATACATGGCGTCATCCAGCAGCCTGTCGACGGATTTTGTTTTCCTAACTGACGTACGGCTGTGTGTTGTCACTCCTCCATTCCCCCAGGTTGGCGTGGTGGACGTGCACCCGTCCGAGGTTGTTCGCAAGGGACGCCTCATGCCTGGCAACATCCTGCTTGTGGACTTTGACGAGCACCGCCTGGTGGAGGACAAGGAGCTGAAGGAGCGGTACGCAAACCGCAGGTAGGAGGAAGGTGAAGCGACCGGGTGGGATGAGGAGTACTGATGAACGGCTACAGAGTGACAAAATTCCAAACATGGTAGTAGAGAATGCGTTACCCTGGGGCGGTGCCTTGGAAGTGCAGGATGGTGCAAAGCAAACGCAAGTCGGTGGGCGATTGTCCGAGGAAATGGGTTTGGAAGCGGATACGGTTGTCCCTCCAGATTGCGCGCTCCGATTGCACGGGAAGGGAAGCAGTGCAGTTTGACACCTATGCCTGTGGTGGAATGAAGAGGTCGCCGCCGTATTGCTGCTGTAATCCAGCCCTGCTGATCAGCACTCTACTACGAATCGGATGCTACACGACCCGGGCTTTGTGACCCATTGCCGAGAAGCTGTTCGCGTAGGGACACGAATGTCGCGTCCCAACAGTGAACGGGCAGTTCTATCTGTCCTCTCCGGTACTGCACTGCGCCTAATTTTACACGTCTTTCCTACTCGTCGCTCCCATCTTGTCAGGCCGTACGCACGCTGGTTGGAGGAGTACTCGCTCACGCTGCAGCAGCTGACGGCTTCGGTTCCTCCGGACGCGCGCGTACCTCTCCCTCTGCCTGGAGCCCGCGCGCTTGCCTCCCCCGGAACAAATGGCAACGGCAACGGCGTGCACAAGGCGGCCGCCTCCAACATTGTGTCTTTTACGCACGCCAGTACCAACAACGGCACTGCAGCCGGCGCAGCCTTTGTGTCGGAGCAGGACGCCGGTATCCAGTCTCTGCTGAAGCCCTTGAAGGTGTGTCCTGACTGCACGGCGCACGGCAGATCCGATTGGCATCTGAGTTCGTTGATTGCCCCTTGGTCCTGAGAGTTCCTGAACCTCATTGTTGTTGGTTGAGTCGGGCGGCAACGGGGGTAGTCGGGCGGCAACGGGGGTAGTTTCCACTGTACCTGTTACCCCACAGGTATCTGTACACGTGTCCGTGGGGGTTGCTGTCATGTTTCCCTGTATGTAGTTATCCCGCAGTGCCGCGCACAGCTACTGACACGCCGCATCGCACGCAATTCCGCACCATGGTACCGCCACCAAGATGTACGATATATGAGTAGGGTAATTGGTGTGAAGGCGGTGATTGTTCTGTGGCTGGTTGGCGGACCTGAAATGTCCTCCTTTCACGCGCTCACCCCGCGCACCCCGCGCCATACACAGGTGTTTGGCTATACCCGGGAGGGTCTGGAGCTGCTGATGGCCCCGATGGCCCGCACCGGGGCTGAGCCGCTGGGATCCATGGGCAATGACGCGGCACTGGCAGCCCTGTCGCGTCGTGCCAGACTGCCCTTCGAGTACTTCAAGCAGCTGTTTGCGCAGGTTAGTAAGCAGTCGGTCCATGTGTCGCTACAAGGTTGCCATGGGTTGAGGTCCCGATGCGGCAAGGGCCTATTATTTCAATTCGTGATCTTGGTCGATACTTACCACCACCGTTCTGACTGTCCGCCTGCCTTTGAGAGTTCCAACTTCCCGCCTCTCCCCTTTTGCGCTCCATAACGCACAAAACCCTCCTTCCTATCCGACCTCGTGCTCGGCAGGTGACGAACCCTGCCATTGACCCGTTCCGCGAGGCGGTGGTGACATCGCTGCGTTGCTTCATCGGTCCCGAGGTGGACGTCACAGCTGAGCCGGGTCCGCAGCACTGCGGTCGCCTGGAGCTGCCCCAGCCGGTTCTCGACGTGGCGGAGATGGAAGCGCTCAAGGTGAGGCTGGGCCTTTCCAGCTGTGCCACATCTTTTGGGCGAACACTATCCGCCAGAGATGATTCGGTTCAAATGACATTCATTTGCGGGTTACTGTCCTCCGGCTGGGCTACTTTTTACATGACATTTCCGCTGCTGCTAATGCCGCCAATGTCACGTCGCTGCGTAACCCTGATATGGAAATGTCGTCGTCCTCCTTCCATGGCCACCCTCGTTATTTCCCTCCCCCCATTAGAACGTGGACCACCCGGGTGGCTGGCGCACCAAGGTCCTGGACAGCACGTTCCCTGTCGAGGATGGACCCATGGGTAAGTGTGTGTTGTGGGTTGGACCGGGTTCCAGTTATTTGGTATTAGTTGACTTCGTGGTGGACAAGGCAGCCTCTCAACGGCAGGCAAACCCCCTCTGGCGGCCCTTTCGTGGCCCTCAAACCTCCCTCTACACACTCTGTTTCAGGTCTGCGTGCTGCGCTTTCACGGCTGTGCGAGGAGGCTGAGGCGGCAGTAAAGTCCGGCACCTACGCGCTTGTGTGTCTGTCGGACCGCGGCTACGGCCCCACCCGTGCCCCCGTGCCCTCGCTACTGGCTGCCGGCGCCGTACACCACCACCTGGTGCAGCTCAAGCTTCGCAGCAATGTCGGACTGCTGGTGGATAGCGGCGAGCCGCGCGAGGTGCACCAGTTTTGTCTGCTTGTTGGCTACGGCGCCGACGCGGTGTGCCCCTACCTAGCGTTTGAGTCGCTGGCGGCGCTGCAGCGCGACGGCAAGCTGCCTGCCAGTTCGACTCTGGAGGAGCTGAAAGCCAAGTTCGTCAAGGGCGTGGGCGTGGGCATTCTCAAGGTTCGTTACGGCGTTTGAACAGGCTGGGGTGGGGGCCCGGGGGTGTACTGGAATATGATCTGTGTCGGTACCGCCCTGCTCTTGTCGCGTCTCCTTGTCCCCCGTTGTGCTCCATCTCTGCAGCCAGGGCCGGGAGGAAATTCGTCATCTGGTCCAATGACGCTTCGAGTCCCTCCCCTGTGATCTGCTTTCAGCATCCCATCACATGCCTGTTAATTCTAGGCTTCCAGATGCGAGGTGCTACTTGGCGTGAGCTTTCCTCTTCATAAATCACCTCTTGTCTCATGTCTCTCTGCTGGTCCCTGGTTTGAATCCCGTTCCGTTGTTGCAGACCATGGCCAAGATGGGCATCAGCACGCTGCAGAGCTACAAGGGCGCCCAGATCTTTGAGGCGCTGGGCTTGGCGCCCGAGGTGGTTGACGTGTGCTTCCGCGGCACCCCCACTCGCATCGGCGGTAGCGGCTGGGCGCAGCTGGGTCGGGACGTCCTGACGCTGCACGCCGACGCCTTTGGCCTGGCCCGGCTGCCCGAGGGCAGTGCGGACGCCAAGGCGCTGCCGCACGCCGGGGACTACCACTGGCGCAACTCCCCGGATGCGGAGAGGCACATGAACGACCCGGAGGCCATTGCAAAGCTGCAGGTGAGCCGCGCGGAGGGGCAGGTGCGGGCGGGGGAGAACTGAATCGTGGGTTGAGGATGACTGGCCGTGAATTAATACAAGGTCGAGTTCCAAGGAGGGCGCTGACCCGCAAGTGTACTGCAGGAACGCGGCTTGGAAATGCTTGTGTCGTGGTCATAATGGCGCTTGTAGTGCTATTGGGCTGCTCAGTGTTTCCCACTCGCTGTTGTTTTCTTAGCTTTGTATCTGTATTGTTGTCCTCGGGTCTTGTTACGAATGATATGTCCTAAACATCCAGAGGTCGGTAACCACGGTTGCATTTGCCTCTCTCATTGACCTCAGGCTGCCACCGCGGGTAACGACCGTGAGCTCTTCCGCCAGTTCTCGGCTCTGAACACGAGGCTCTCCCGTGCGTGCCACCTGCGCGGCCTGCTCAAGTTCCGCACCGAGTCGGCCACTCCGGTGCCCCTGGAGGAGGTTGAGTCCGCTGCCTCCATCGTGAAGCGCTTCGTCACGGGTGCCATGTCGTACGGTTCCATCAGCTTGGAGACGCACACGACCCTGGCTCTGGCCATGAACACCATGGGCGGCAAGAGCAACAGCGGCGAGGGTGGCGAGAACCCCCGGCGCTTGGAGCCCCTCCCTGACGGCACCAAGAACCCCTTCCGGTCCGCAATCAAGCAGGTAGCCTCTGGCCGGTTCGGCGTGACGGCTTACTACCTGACCAATGCGGATGAGCTGCAGATTAAGATTTCTCAGGGCGCCAAGCCCGGTGAGGGCGGCGAGCTGCCCGGTGACAAGGTCAAAGGTGACATTGCCGTGACCCGCGGGTCCACAGCCGGTGTGGGCCTCATCAGTCCCCCTCCCCACCACGACATTTACTCCATTGAGGACCTGGCGCAGCTCATCTACGACCTGAAGAGCTCCAACCCGGCTGCACGTGTCAGGTAGGGCGGGGAATGAGGAGAGGGAGTGGAGGGGAAGGCCCGCACAGCAGAGGGTGGTTTGGGGGCTTGCATCAGCATGCTATTTGTTGGCCAAATTCACTTAGGGGCCGTTGAGTGACGTTTTTGCTATTCATGAATCAGCGATCAAGGATCAGGTATTACCAATCAGCGATCAGGGACCAGCAATCGAGAATTAGGTACCAGAGATCAGGGATGAGGAAAGCTGACACCCCACCGCGAGATGGCGGCAACAAGTTACACTGAACCTCTATACGTCTCTCATCCTGACTTTTGCTGCCCTGCGCTCCCGTGCGCAGCGTGAAGCTGGTGAGTGAGAATGGCGTAGGTGTGGTGGCCAGCGGTGTGGTCAAGGGACACGCTGACCACGTGCTCATCAGCGGCCATGACGGCGGCACGGGTGCGGCCAAGTGGTCGTCAATCAAGCACGCGGGTTTACCCTGGGAGCTGGGGCTGGCGGAAGCGCACCAGACGCTCGTGGCCAACGATTTGCGTGGGCGGACTGTGCTGCAGGTATACGGCGTGACGCGGCAGGGAGTGGGCTGTCCTGGCTGTTATCTGAATGATATGAACGAGATGTTGTAAGAGCAAGGGGCAGTGGGTGGTGATGACGCTCAATAGTCCGTAGAGCGTATTGGGTCATGAAGGATTGCCGGCACGGCAAGGTTCATCGTATGCAGTTTGTGTTGTTAGCGATTTTGCTAATAATCCGCTTCCCGGTGCGGTTGCCAAGGTTTTGTTTATGAACGCGTCCCCGTTGCCGGTCCCTCTGTGCAGGTGGACGGCCAGCTCCGTACGGGCCGTGACGTGGCTATCGCCTGCGCGCTGGGTGCCGAAGAGTTTGGCTTCTCCACGGCTCCGCTCATCACGTTGGGCTGTATCATGATGCGCAAGTGCCACACCAATACCTGTCCCGTGGGCATTGCCACACAGGTGGGTACTGACGACTAGCTACAGCTGCTGAGTCTGCTCTGGTGGGATGGCAGCATCTCGACGTCCACTTCACCCCCTGGGCATGCCTGCAAGCGCTGTGCAGCCGTCGGCTTTTCTCTCGTGTGGCTCGCAGCCTGTGACCCAGTTGAGCTTCCCTGCACCTGTGTAGCCAGCTGGCCCGTCCGCCTGTTCCGCTCTGTACATTGCTACTGTATCCGCACCTGCTCAGGACCCAGAGTTGCGCGCCAAATTCGCGGGTGAGCCTGAGCACGTCATCAACTATTTCTTCATGGTGGCTGAGGAGGTCCGAGAGCTGCTTGCCTCGATGGGGCTCAGGTCCATGAACGAGCTTGTGGGCCGGGCGGACCTGCTGCAGGTACGTGAGCCTGTGTAGATATGTAGCTCGAATAGGTAGCAGCCGTCCCATACACGTGTGTGAATGTGCGCTTTACCAGGTCAACGCCAACGCCCGCCCACCCTCGCGCGCTGAAACAAATGGCAGAACCTCTGCTCTCAACCGCCGCCCGTGACTGGCGCCCCACTGCCCTCCCGGTGTGTGTTATTGTTATGCACTCCTCGACAGACGGATATGGCAGCTGTTGCCGAGGGCGGTCTTAAGCTTGAGGGCATCGATCTGTCCCGGTTGCTGCTGCCGGCGGCCACTCTTCGTCCCGGAGCTTCCCAGCGGTGCATTCAGAAGCAGGACCACGGTCTGGACGCGGGTCTGGACGTGCACCTGGTGCCGCTGTGCAAGGCAGCGCTGCCGGACGAGCCCAACGGCTCCGCAGAGCCCGTCTACATCGAGATGGAGGTCCAGAACACTCACCGGTGAGCGTGAGCGGCAGCAGGGAGGAAAAGGCGGTACAGGGGTGGCTAGCGAGGTAATCTGGCGTGTGCGAAATGGAGCTACGGTGTGCCTCCATATGTAAATGCACTTATGCTTCGCCTATCCCCCTGTGCTCAAGCTGATATTGTTGCTGATGTTGTTTAGTTTGGTTGCTTTTTGGTGCCTTTTGGGTTTCCGTCCAACACCACCCTCCTCTCCCCGGCCTCTGACGGTCCTTGTTCCTGACGGCAGCGCCGTGGGTACGACACTGAGCCACGAGGTGACCAAGCGCTTTGGCGACGCGGGTCTGCCGGACGACACCATCCATATCAAGCTGACTGGCCACGCTGGTCAGAGCTTGGGCGCCTGGCTGTGTCGCGGCATCACCCTCGAGCTGGAGGGCGACGCCAACGACTACGTGGCCAAGGGCCTCAGCGGCGGTGTTGTGGCGGTGTACCCGCCCGCCAACTCCCCGTTCCGCGCGGAGGACAACGTCATTGCCGGCAATGTGGCCCTGTACGGCGCCGTACGTGGCGAGTGCTTCATCCGCGGCATCGCGGCGGAGCGCTTCTGCGTGCGCAACTCGGGCGCACGTGCCGTGGTGGAGGGCGTGGGTGACCATGCTTGCGAGTACATGACGGGCGGTGTGTCGGTGATCTTGGGGCCCACCGGCAAGAACTTTGGCGCCGGCATGAGCGGCGGGATTGCGTATGTGTACGATCCCAACGATAAGTTCAAGGTATAATGACTGGGGTGGTGAAAATCACTGTCCTGAGTGAGTGAGGGGCGAATCCGTTTGTTGCCCATCCCCCTTCTTTGTCAGCCTGCTTCATGTTTATCTGCCAGTCCCACGCCGCACAGGAATATAGTACCTGAAGTTGCTTAATTCTTGCATCCCCCCTTCCCAATACCCACCCGCGCAGTCTCTGTGCAACTCCGACGTGGCGAACGACCTCCTCCCGGTCGAGTCCCCGGAGGACGTGCGAGCGCTCAAGTCGCTCATCCAGCGCCACCTCAAGTTCACGGGCTCGGACGTGGCTCGGCGCATCCTGCTCAGCTGGGACCGCTCACGGGCCCAGTTCAAGAAGGTCTTCCCGCACGAGTACCGTCGCGCGCTCGCGGAGGCCGAGGCCCTGGCAAAGGCGGAGTCGGCGGAGGCGGCCCTCCTGGCGGCCGCGGACTCTGCGGGCCTGGCGCCCAAGGACGCGTTTGAGGAGCTGAAGGCGATGGCAGCCGCGGCAGTCAAGGCCGGCAAGCCCCCTAAGGCACTGACCTTGAACGTTATTCCCACCGCCGACCCGCAGCAGGACAAGCGCCGCCTGCAGAAGCTGGCGCGGGAGGGTATGCCTGTAAAGGGCATCGCTCCGACTTGGGAGGCCAATCGGCCGACTATTGTTGCGCCCAAGGCGCCGGCGGCCGGCGCGCCTGCCGTACCGGCGGCGTCGGTCGCTGACAAAGTCCGGGGCTTTGTGTCCTATGACCGGAAGCCACTGCCGTACCGTCCTGAGGCAGAGCGCATCAAGGACTGGGACGAGGTGCACGACCACTCTGGCACGGCGGCGCACGCTGCTCTGCTGCACACGCAGTCTGCTCGCTGCATGGAGTGCGGCACGCCCTTCTGCCACACGTCCTCGACCGGCTGCCCTCTGGGGAACAAGATCCCTGAGTTCAACGACCTGGTGCACAAGGTGAGGGGGGTGGGTGGGTCGGTTGCAGTCGCCCGGGTGACGTCTAGTCATGCGAGATTTGCGCAACACAACACCAGCGGCTGCAACGGTCAAGGACCAGCAGCAGCGCTAACATGTGAAACGGAAGGGAGATGAGGGTGACGAGGAAAAGTCTGCATGGAAGGAACATACGGATGTCAACGTCATTATATTTTTGCTTTGGACTGCTCCCACAGTTGTTTAGGCTTCCACGCTGCCGGTGAATCTATCGATTTTGGTTAAATTAGTACGTTTTTGCTCTCCACAACACCGCTGCTCCAACCCTGCTATGCTTGGCCGTCAGGGTCGCTGGCGCGAGGCACTGGACCGGCTGCTCGAGACGAACAACTTCCCCGAGTTCACTGGGCGTGTGTGCCCGGCGCCCTGCGAGGGTAGCTGCACATTGGGCATCATTGAGCCGCCCGTGTCCATCAAGAGCATCGAGGCGACCATCATTGATAAGTAAGAGAGGAAAGGCTGTTAAGAGGGCTCGATCTCGTTTTTAGGAAGAGGACTAGGCCTTGGCCAGGTACTCATGCGGAATTCTTTTTACCTCGTTTAGCATCATGTAGCTTGAGAGGGACATAGGACCGGAGGCGGAACGATAGGAAAAGTAGGGGTAGTGGTCCCGCGCAAACTGCGTCCTGCAATGCGGCTTGCCTGGCCAATTGTTCGCTTCTTATAGCCAACCAACTGGCTGAATGCCGCTGCCGTGGAGTGTGACGTGCTTTTCGTGCTCTGTCCGCTACAGGGCGTTTGAGGAGGGCTGGATGGTTCCCCGGCCGCCCAAGCTGCGCACGGGTCGCCGTGTGGCGGTGGTGGGCAGCGGACCCGCGGGTCTCGCCGCCGCGGACCAGTTGAACAAGATGGGACACGAGGTGACGGTGTACGAACGGGCCGATCGCGCCGGCGGTCTGATGATGTACGGCGTGCCCAACATGAAGGCTGGCAAGGAGGATGTCGTACAGCGCCGTGTGGATCTTATGGCGGCAGAGGGTGTGAAGTTCGTGCTGAATGCCCACGTGGGCGTCAACGTTGCGCCCCAGGTACATCGGTGGCAGTGGACGTGGAAGGAACAGTGCAGTGCAGTTCATTGTCATGTACATGGTTAGGTCGTAAGGGGGGTTGCCAGCTACCTGGCCAACACGTCGTGTCGCGCCATCGTACCCTGCTCACGCACCGACCTTGTTAACTATTCCCCCTCGCTCCCCCTGCCCCCTGCGGCCCTAGGACTTGGTGAGCGGCCACGACGCGGTGGTGCTGGCGGCCGGTGCCACCAAGCCCCGCGACCTGCCTGTCCCTGGTCGCGACTTCTCGGGAGTTCACTTCGCCATGGACTTCCTGACCGCCAACACCCGCTCGCTGCTGGACAGCGGCCTGCAGGACGGAAAGTAAGCGGGCGCGATTACCCGGAACATGGGACGGGCTGCTGCTGATGCGGTAGGAAACAGCGAGTATGGTTGGTCGTCGTAGGCAATGGCGGCGGCTGTTGGATCCCCCGGACATCACATGCGGACATGATGATGACTATATAAAGCTTAGTGGACGCAAATGACCCGGATGGCAGGCGTCATTTTGTTTCGGATGACGTGCATCAGCATGCCTCACGTTGCTTATGCAAGTTGCAGGCGTTTATTACAACACCTCCCCCCTTTGCCGTTTGCTCATCATCATGTGCAACCCCTGGTTCCCCCTGTCTCCCCTCGCGATCCTGCTGTAATCTCCTGCTTCTGTGCATTAGATACATCAGCGCCGCGGGCAAGAAGGTTGTGGTGATTGGCGGTGGCGACACGGGCACGGACTGTATCGCGACGTCCTTGCGGCACGGGGCGACTTCCATTGTGAACCTGGAGCTGCTTGACAAGCCGCCGGCCACTCGGGCTAAGAATAACCCCTGGCCGCAGTGGCCGCGAATCTTTAGGTACGTGCTACTGCTACTGCTGCTGTAGCCCTCGTGCGGTGTCCTGTGGATGTGTTCTGTCAGGACTGCGCTGGACACCTGGGAGCAACCGTGTCATGTACCCCGGCCACGTTGCAAAATGATCCATGGCCTCCTGCCGCCACCCCTCCTGGACCTCCCCGCCGCAGGGTGGACTATGGCCACGCGGAGGCCTCACACGTGTACGGCGCCGACCCGCGCACATATAACGTTATGACTAAGCGTTTCATTGGGGACGAGCAGGGCCGCCTGAAGGGTGTCGAGATTGTCACTGTCAAGTAAGTAAGGGGCTATTTCGTTGCATTGTCCCGGGCCCCCGTTCCTGTTGGCAATACTCCATATTGTAGTGCAATGTCGACCGCACGCGCAACCGAACGTGTCTCGTCCTTTAGGACTTCCAAACTTGTCAAAAGCGGTCGTTCTCGTACTAACCCTCTAGGTCGCCGTCTTCGCCGTTTTGCCTATCTGCCTACCTCCACTGCCCAGGATGGAGAAGGACCCCAAGAGCGGCCAGTTCCGGCCCGTGGAGCAGCCCGGTACGGCTCGTGTACTGGAGGCGGACTTGGTGCTGCTGGCCATGGGCTTCACCGGGCCGGAAGACAGGCTGGCCACCGCCCTGGGGGTGTCGCAGGATGAGCGCAGCAACTTCAAGGTGCGGGATTAGGTGCCTCCAGCAAATAGCGAAGCCAAAGCAAGAGGGGCGGCCGCCCACCACCAAGGAATATGGTATTGCTTTTGCAGGAAACGTGTTCGCCGTCCGTCCGTTCTCGGGTAGTAGCTCTCTGGGGAAAGAGTATTCTTCCGGAAAGAGATGTTTCCGCGGACACCCTCGCTGCCCTCCCTCGCTCGCTATCGCTGCAGGCCACGTTCGGCGACTTCGCGACGAGCATCCCTGGAGTGTTCGCGGCGGGTGACTGCCGCAGGGGCCAGTCCCTGGTGGTGTGGGCTATCCGCGAGGGCCGTGACTCCGCTGCTGCTGTCGACAGGTGGGTCTCTCTCTTACAGCCAGTGGCGGGTCCGGACGTGCTGTTCGTCGGTTGGTGCACCTGATGGGGTACTGATGGTGGTGGTTGCCGCACTAAGTTGCGGTGCTGTTTATATGCCGCATTTGAATATGAGTATAAGGGTAACCCTGTGGTTTCCGTCCCCTTTGGGGAGTTTTGTTTGGCTCACACGACTGGAAGCCAACGACGTTAGAGGCGAAGGCTGGAGCTAAACCCTTAACGTGTGCGCTTGCCTTAGGGCTTATAAAATGTGAAGAACGTATGTCCGTGTGAAAATAAGGTTTATTGTAGGTATCGGTCCTGGACGCGGTCGACCTCTGTTCATACATTTCGTGCCCTCGTTCGCAACTCCCATACACCTATACAGCCGCATACAACAACACACACCGCATGCAATGAAATGCAGGTATCTGTCAAAGCAGGCGGGCAACGGGCTCCTTGCGCAGCCCCTGGAGGTGCGCGGCGGGATCTATGACGTGTCAGGGGCCGTCATCGCCAGGACCGCTGCTCCCTCGTCGCCGCGGGATGCGTCTCCCAAGCGACCTTCGGTTGCAGTCTGAAGTCAGACCACCTAATTGACAGCTATGCCGAGCTTAATAGTAGAATGCGGTGACGTCGCGTATTGCGATCCACCGTCTAGCTGGCTGTGACTGCCGTGCATTGCAGCAGTCCTGTGTAGCGGATGACGGCGAGACAGGCCTCCTCAGTTGCGGCAGGCGGCGTCCTCGCGTTATCTGGTGAAATGAAATCACGGCGGGCGGGGTGTGGCTGATATTGTGCATGCCGTGGTGAACGCCGTCATTTCCTGTATGTATGTATCCCTTGGGCGTTAGGAACAAAGCCGAGAAACGTTCAATCCGGCACGAATTGTACAGCAGGGTTAGCGGAGGACGCGAATGCTAGGGCAATAAAAGAGAATAAAAGAATGGTAGTCCGTAAAATGGCGATCTTTTTTGCTTTCGTGTATCTTAAAGTGAAACGTTGTGTAGCATTATGCTGAGAGGTCTGTGTCCCGAATACACATCGGATGACAACAGTCGGGTCGAAAGTGAACGAGGGGGAATGATTGTTAGGGCCGGGGTTGGCAATGGTCTCGTATCACCATTGGACGTCCTTACTGTTGCCGCAAGATAGCATCGCAAGGATGTCTCAGTTCCTTGGTGCGCTAATTGGGCTTCCGTTTGGGATGCAGGAGAAATACTTTCTTGCCTTTGTTTCTTGGTACCTTTTGATTGTCCTGGGCAGCTGAAGCGGTCTAACTTGAAGTAGCGCCCCTATTCTGTGTACCTTTGTTCGGGTGGGGTCTGGTTACATGTCTATATTAGGGGATTGGCGACTGAGCGGTCGGGCCAGGGTGCTTTGGTGATGTGCTCAGATATGCTCCGCAGTGTCGGAGAGGATTCTAGTTTTTGGTCTTTCGTCGCGAAAGGTTTTTGTCTTCGCGTTTATCATGTTCTGTAACGTTGTAGGTAGGTGTCATCACCACGAGTCTCTACAAGGCGAGGGCATGACACACTATAGAGCAAGATGTTTTTGGTTTTGATGTTGTGCAGCAGAGTGGCTGATTTAAACTATGGTGTGGTATCAACCCGATGATGTTATCATATCATGCATGTATGCCAGATTGGTAGTGCGATTCTCTTTATTTGTACGGCAGATTTGATGTAATTATATTAAAAGCACGTTTACATCATGTATGACGTAATTAGCCTGCGTGTGCGTCTCTGCAGCGGGAACATAGAGTGCCCGGTCCCCACACTCCCCTCCGGGATGTAACCCTCGCCGCGATGAGGCACATACCACCTTAGTCCGCCTTAGTCCGTTACCACACGTACATATACAAAGTTCTACAGCGAACGTAAAGTGTGGCACTATACTGACTATACTGTCGTCTGGTGGCGTCGACGACGACAGTGGCCACATGAACAGCACAGGCAGGCGATGTTCAGCTGCATTTGCGTATTTGCACGCACGGGCGCACTGGTCGCAACTTGTCTGGTCGCAACTTGTACACGATACCTAATCCCGCTTTACAAGGGAGACAAGCTCTCTGGGGCACTGGAGCCCCCTCGTCATTCTGAGTACAAAGCATTAGACATCGCCAGTGAACATGCCATAGAGCCCGGCCGAGCAACCAACAACTGCCAACCTACCGCGCGGACGCGAACCTACACAACAGCGATACACCAGACGTCTGCTTAGAGGTCCTCGACAGCAGCGCCGCCACAACGACAACTCAACCAAAAACATACAGCTGCAACAACCGGCGAGGCGAGGTCCGCACGGCCCTCCATCCAGCGCGGCCCTCCGTGGACGCCTCCACACTGCGGTGGTACGGCCCGTACACTGAAGGACAGACAGACATGCGTACGACAATACATGAGCGAAGAATCTTCATTCCGAGGGGGCCAAGCAATGACTTTTGGAAGAAGTTAAACGGCATAATTTGCCCCAGCGCGCGCCTCACCTCACCTCTCCTTCCGGCATTGTACCGCACCGGAGGGCCTTTCCCGCGCCGCGGGAGAAAAGACCGCTGCGGCCCCGTGAACCCTTCCAGCGTTAGTCGGTCGGTTGTAGCGGTGGACGAGAACGCCTATATACACAATTCCGCAGCCAACCAAGCCCGCAGGTGTCCGAGCCAAAGCACATAACCGTGCACACGCACACACACACGTGCACATACACTCATACATGCGTGGGTCGCAGTACATCATTTACATACATACATTCCTCCGGGGCCTCCGGACCTCGCAGCGGCAGCAGCGGCAGTGCCTACTTCAGGCTCCTTCTCACAGACGGCAGCGGCAGCTGGCCTCTAACCAAGCTATGCTTAGCAAATGTGTGCGTGCAGATAACAAGTACTTACATACATACGTACATATTCACGTGCAGTATAGCAAACATGGGCCCAGAGTCCCCAGTCAGCGGTACATCAGTCAGATAAACCGGACGACACATTCTCTCTTTTTCTTTGCTTGCGTGTGGGTGTGTGGGTGTGGTGAAGGGGAGGGGGGGCACTTGCCATGGGAAACAGAGACACTCATAAGTACATACGTACAGCAATACATGCAGATATACATGCATACGAACACGCAAGGGGGGCTCCATCAGTTATGCAATCTTTTGAAACCACATAACCGATCCGCTGCAGAGTGTCACCAAGTAGGAGCCGGCTCGTATCACCGTCCCCAAGGGGGGAGATGGCGCTCATCCCTGGAGTAAGGATGGTCCTCACAACAAAAAAAGTACGATGAAAACCGCCGGGCCCAGTCGCAACCATGTATAGCTCCGAACCGGACTCCAGGCCGCCTCACAAACTTCACTCCCGAGACACAGGACACAAAGCACAGTCCCCTGCCGCCACCGCTCACCCCCCGCACCCCCGCTGCCGGTGGCGTGTGCCTGATGGGCCCCCCAAAGTTAAGACTCTTCTCTTGTTCCTCTCTGCTTGCATGCAAGTATAATATACTGTTTGCCAGTTCTGGTTTGCGTGACTAGTAGTAATTGACTACACATGGAAACAGCCGCCATAGCTATTCGTCAGCCCATCACACACCGCCACACCGGTGTAGGCGGTGCAGCCACCGACCAATAATTGAGGCTTCGGTCTCTTTTGAGGCTACATGCCGTCCCGTCCTGCAGCCACCGCCAACACACTGAAGAAAGACATCCCAGCCACCTGCGGAGCCTCATCTCCTCACCCCTCCCTGCTCCGGGGTCCCCAGCTTCCCCTCTTAACTCCCCCTCCACCTCAACCCCCTTACTCCCCCTCCATCATCCGCTCAGCCCGAGCTAGCAATACCCCTCGCCTGCAGCGAGATCTGCTGCGGCCCTGTCCCTGTCCCTGTCCCTGTCGCGGGCTGGGCAGCTGGGCCCCCTGGAGCCGCGGCGGCGGCCGCCGTCGCCGCCGCAATGGCTCCGTTGATGATCAGCGCTCTCTCCCGACTGCGGCGGTAGTTCCAGTGGTGGTGGTGCGGGTGGCATTGCCCACTGTTGCTGCCGCCACCCCCGCCACCACTGCTGTTGCTGCATACGCTGGTCTCGGAGCACAACGACGTGGCCGAGGCGGGCCGACTGGCGCCTCCCCCCCAGCCGGCGCTGCTTCTCCGCCCCGGGAACTCGATACTGCACTGCACAGCGGGGTGCTGCACATCTGCCCCGCCGACCACCGGGGGTTGGGGGGCAGGGCCGGTAGCCGACGTCAACGGCGCCGCCGCAGCAAAGGCAGCTGTGTGCGCGTCCATAGCGGCAGCAGTGCTGCCGGCGGTAGTGGCAGCAGCTGCAGCAGCAGTGCTGGCTGTGCCAGCGCCTGAGGAGGACCGACGCGGCATCTGGGGCGCCAGAGGCGGTTTCGGAGCGAACGGCACTGCTGACGCGAACGATGATTGATTACTGCCCTCGTCCGTGCTACTCCGCTGCGCGGGGGGGCCAGCGGCAGCAGCGGCGGCGGCAGTGCAGACCAGGGAGGTCTCCGGCGGGTGACCCCCTTGCGCCGCCGCCACCGCCTCCGGCCCCTCCCCGACACCGTTATGAGTGAGGATGTGGGAGCTGGTGGAGTACACCTCCCACTGCCGCCGCCGGGGCCGGGGTGGCAGCAGGTGCGCCTGCTGGCCCCCCTCTGCGGCTGCTGCGCTGCTGCTGGTCGCAGGCGGGCTGAGCAATCCGAATCGGTCTCGTGTGTGGGGGGGGTCAGTCACCTCGGGGCAGTGGAGAGGGGCAGGAGCCACCCGACCCAGGGGCAGGAACCCGGGATTGGAATTGCTACCGCTGCTACTGCTACCGCTATTGCTACCGGCACTGGCGCGTGGCGAGGTGGTCGGGGGTGAGAAGCGGCTGAGGCGGCTGCCAGCGGCACTACCGCCACCCGTTGGGCTGTCCCGGGGCCGGACATCGTTGGACACCACCACCGCGACACCGCCGAGGGGGGGGGCCGGGTCGGCGGCGTCAGTCGGTCCAGTGGTAGGAATTACTACTGCGGCTGGGGAGCCAACGGCTCGCCCCAAGGACGGAAACAAGTTACGCCGTACACCCCCGTCTTCGTCTGCGCCGCCACAGGCAGCCTCGTTCAGGATGCGGACCGCACGTCCGAGGTGTGTCGGAGCCGGTGTGTCGGGAGCCGCAGTCACACATGAAGACCCCTGCTGCTGCTGCTGCTGCTGCTGCTGGGGCGGTGGTGGTGGTGGCGTCCTGAAGCCGTTTGGAGGTGCTGCTGCAGCTGTAGCTGTAGCACGGGGAATGCGGGAGTCACTGGCCTCACTGCAAAGAACACGTCCGTACTCCTCACGGCTCACCCGCATGCTCGGCATCAAGGGGCCGCCGACCCGTGTGCTCACTGCCTGGCCGCTACTGCCACTGCTGCCGCTACTGGCACCGCTGCTCATAAGGTTGCTACTGCTGCGGGAGCGGGGGCCCCCGGGAGCCGGCCCTGGTGCCACTGTCACCGAGGAGGACGCGGTGAAGGACACGGACCTCGCCGTACGCCAGGAGTCCGCACTGCTGACGACGGGGCGGGCGGCAGCGGCGGAGGCTGTCGTACCGGTTGACATGGATGACGGCGCCGCATGACTAATGCTCATGTCGTCGCAGTGGCTGCCGCCGCCGCTGCTGCTTCCACCCCCTTTTTCACTACCCGCATGGGCCGCTGCCGCCCCCGCGGGTCCCAAGGCCGGTTCGGCGATAAGACGCGGCGTCCGGAAGGGTGACGTGGCGGAGTCGCATGCGGCGTTGGGGGCCCTGATGGGCGCCAGGGTGATGGTGGTGGTCCAGCTGGTGTCCGTCCCCACTGCTGCCGCCGCGTTCATGGGCTGCCCGGGGGGAGCCCCTGTCCCTCCTCCTCCGCAGAGCCCCTCCCTCGCTTTCATGTGTACCTCGCCGCTGTCGTCGTACCCCTCACAGTACCCCGCGGGGCCGCCCGCAGCGGCAATGGCGTCTGGGGCCTTGCGGCTGCTGCTACCTTGCCACATGCGCCACATAGAGGCGGGGCGGTAGAGGAGGGGAGGCTCCGAGGTGACGGCGGAGGAGACGGCGCCGCCAGTGCCAGCCGCTGATGACGTGGCGACGTCGCCGGACTGCGGCCGCAGCGCCCCGGGCGACAGAAGGGCCTTACTTCGCTTCCATGGCGGCGATTTGCGGTGGCCCTTGAGGAGGTGGTGATGAGTCCCCTTGTTGCGCTGCTGTGCTGACGGGGACCTCTGGGCCGCCGCATACCGCTCAGGCGCTACCGCCCTGGCTCGGTGAGGCCCCGCGAGGGGCCCCGTGCGGGGGGCTGCTGCGGAATGGCGGCCCGAGGGAGGAGGCTGCTGCCCTCCCGGTCCCGCCCCCTGCAGCCGCTGCGGGGGGCCCTGCTGCGGTGCTGGGGGCTGGGAGGACGGGACATCCAGGATGCTGCTGAAGCGCCCGACCCTCTCCGCCTGGCGGGAGGCCGCAACCGGAGGCCGCAACACCAGCTGGTGCTGCTGCGGGTGCTCTTGCTGCGCATCTCCAGCTGCCGGTGTCGCTCTGGAGATACTTTGCACTCCAGGAGGGCCACCACCACCACCACCACCAGTAACAGCTGCTACTGCTGCTGCTACACCTGGCCCCTGGCCCCGCAGCTCTATCTGCGACTGCCGCGTCCGCTGCGGCTGCTCACGGGACTTGCGAGTCCAGGGCACCAGACTGCTGACGCCGCTCACCTCCGCGGCGGCCCCCCCCGCCCCAACAGCACCAACGGGAGCCACATTTCGCGACTGTGGACTGCCAACAGAGCCACCGCTGCGCCTCCGCGGCGATAACGACAACAGCGCCTCGATTGCGGAGGGGGACAACTCGCAGCTCGCCGCACCACCACCGCTGCTCGCGTCGTTGTTGTCACCGTACAGACTTCCGGAGCTGCTGGGTGAGCTGCTGCCGCTGTGGCTGCGGCGGTGTTGGGCGGGGGCCGGCGGCAGGCGCAGCGGGGACGGCTGCGGCTGATGATGCAATAGCGGCGGCAGTAATGCAGACGAGGGTGCGGGGGGCGGCTCCCAGGTGAGCGGTACGACGGGCGGCGGCGTACGACGCGACGGCGGCATGTCCGGCGGCTCCAGTGGGCTGCCGGGCGTTCTGGGCTGCAGGCGCGGCGGCAGTAGCAGTGGCGAGGGCCGCTCAGGGCCGGCACTGCGGGCGCGGATGCAGTGTGCTGGGCCCCGGAAGCCGCCGGGGCTGCCGCTGCCGTACCTCACCCCATAACCACCATAGCCTCCGCTGCCGCTGCCGCCGCGTAAAGCCCCGCAGCCCCCCGTAGTGGGTGAGGGCGTCCGAAAGATGCCCTTCCCGCCGCCGTCATAGCCGCCAGCCGCCGCCACAGCCACAGCCGCGTGGCAGGGCCCCGCAAGCAGAAAGCGGTCAGGAGTCAGGAAGCGATTGCTACAGCTACTGCTGCTACTGCCGCCGGCAGTTGCCGGGGGGTGCAGGGGCGAGGGAGTACGGAAGGCGGCCCCGGGACCACCCGGGAGCAGCGCCACCGCCGAGCTGCAGCGGGCCACACCCGGGTGAAGGCCGTCACGGCGCATGGCGCCCCCAGCGCCCTGCTCGGGCGCAGATCCGGGGGCTCCGGAACCGCAACCGCTTGCGTGGGCGGCCGCAGACGCAAGCGCGTTGGGTGAGGGGCGCATCAGCAGTGCGGCACACCGCTCAGCCGCCAAACCCTGGAGCGGCGCCTGCTGAAACAGCTGCTGGTGCTGGTGCTGCTGGTGCGGTGGCGACGGTGGCGACGGCGGTGACGGCCGCGGCGGGGTCAGCCCCACGGCAAGGCCTCCAGCCAGCTGCTCAGTTGCTGCGGTGTGTTGCTCCTCCTCACCCTCCTCCTCGTCCTGCTGCTGCTGCCAAGCCACGGAGGGAATCCTCCGGAACCCCCCGGGCTGCCCCCCGGTCACAACAACAACACAGCTGCTACTGCTGCTGTTGACGGGCCCCGATGGCGTCGCCGGCGCTAGCGATGACGTGGCAGCAGCATGTCGTACAACGGACAACGCAGCCGCCCCCGACGCGACCAATGATGACGTTGATGAAGCCGATAGTGATGACAATGGTCTACTTGACGATTGGCGGACGCACGGACGCTCGTCCTGCTGGCCGGCGGGGCAATCATCGTACGGCTCACGCTGCTCCGAAGCCAGGTGGTGTGTCGCAACTTGGCCGCTGGCGCTGTCACCGCCAGTGACCCCGGTATGTGCGCATCCCGGCTGCTGATGGGTTTGGTGGTGGTGGGGCTGCGGCGGAGGGAACTGATAGAACCTGGATCTCCCGGCTGGTGGCGCTACTGGCTGCTCCACACATCGCCCCCCTGCCCCGGGGGCCTCTTCCGGCGGCTGCCACCCCCCCTCTGTGCACTGCCGCTGCGGGCACCACAGTCCTCGAGCTGTGTCCACCAGCACCCCCCCGCACTCCGAACAGACGGGGACATCCCCTTCGCCGCCGGCACCACCGGTGCTGCACCTGGCGCAGATATCGCGAGCCAGCGAAGCCTCCGCTGCTGCGATGGCCGCTGCGGTGGCCGCTGCCTCCCTCCAAGCCTCAGGCGGTAAGCGCTTCCACAGGGGTTCAGCCACTGCTAGAGCCGCCCGCTCCGCTTCGGCTTCGGAGCCCCGCTTCTGACAGAGCTTGCTCCGCCCCGGGCCCTGCTGCTGCTGCTCCCGCGGCTGTTGGGAGGGGGAAGTCGTGAGGGCCGCCAACGCCGCCTCGACACCACCTTCGGGTGGGACAGTAGCTGCTAGTTCTATAGCACCAGGCTGCAGCCATCTAGGCGCCTCCACAGCCGGAGCCGCGTCCCGGGGCCGTTGTGATCCGGGGCTTAGGAGCCCCTGCTGGCGTTGGGGGTGGGGATGGGGACTCGGTACGCCGGGCTGGCGAGAGGCCGATGGAGGCTGGCGCCCAAGCGCCGCCTCTCCACTGCCCACGATTGACGCCACGGCGGCGGCGGCTCGGCGGTTCAACACTTTCCGCTGGCCCCCCCTTCGGTCCGGGGAGCTCCCCCCCTGGAGCGGCTGCACGGACCCGTCCACGTGACCCTGGGCCTGATCCAGATCTGAATCCCGTGGTAAGCCCTGATGCCCCCGCACCGTCTCCCTACACCCCTGCTCCTCCTCCCCCTCCCTGCGATGCAGCTGACGCGGGTGCCGTGGTGATGGCGCCACGGGCAGCTCACCCGGGAACAAACCCGAGTTGGCGGCGGCGGCGGCGGCGGCGAGGACTTGAAGAACGTTTGGGCTGGCGGGCCCCTGGGCTGCTGTGTCGCCCCCGCGGGCGGTTGCGGCCGCTCCCGCTACCGGGGTGTCGGGTTCTGAGGGTCCGCAGGTCCAGATGTCGGAGCGGACGTAGCGGCCGGAGGATATGGAGGAGGGCGTGACGGGGATGTAGTCCTCGGGCCGCTTGACGGCGAACTTGGGGCTGATGGCGGACAGCAGCGCCCGCAGTATGTCAGATCTGCGGCCCGGTGGGGCGGTAGACGGGGGGGGTGTTAGACGGGCAGGGGTGGGCAACACGGGGTGGCAATATGGCTCAGCAAGGCTCCGCGAGGCGGGGGTCAATGAGAGGTTGAAAACGGCGGCAGCAGCAGCAGCCGCCCGGGACGAGACGGGCCAAGGACATCCGGGGGTGTGCAGCAACACGGAACTGAGCAAAGTACAGTGCGGGAGAGGGAGAGGGAGATGCGGGAGAGGGAGATGCGGGAGAGGGAGATGCGGGAGGGCAAGGCCGCAATCAGCGCACTGGGTGCTGCGGGGGTACATTCCCGCCCAGCCCCGCATTACGGACACATAAACCCCTCCTAACACAAGCCCCTCCTAGCAACACATCCTGTTGCTCTTTTCCTTTGACAGAGTCCTCCACCCCCTAGGGGTCACCCGGCGTACTGCGTGCTACTGCGCATGCTGCTGTACTGCGTGTGACCTGTGTACTGCTTCATTCTCACCCGTACGGCGACTCCGGAGTATCCTCTTCCTTAAATAACCATTCCCAGTACTCCTCATCGCCGTCCGTGGGCCCATCTGGTGCAGCGTATTGCCCCGGCCGCTGCACCGCCATTCCTCCACCCTTATTATTGTTGTTGTCGAAACGTACGGCTGCCTGGACAAGATCCACGGATCTGCCCTGCACGTACGGCAAGTCGGCAGGCCGATGATGATGCTCATGTTGAGACGGTTGGGGGGAAAGAGCGGCTGCCGACGCGGCGTGTTGATGTTGTAGCGGCGCCTTGTTGCTACATCCCGACATCCTTGGCCCCGGTGGAGGGCGCGGTGGTGGTGGTGCGGGCCGGGGGGGGTGCTGGCCATCCAGCAAGCCGCGCAGGCGCTGGTGATAGGGGAGTGGTGCGGGTAAGCAACGGGCGGGCTGCGGTGTGGCTGCTGCGGCGCTGTAGGGGCGGCGCTGCTGCCCATCCGCCCCGCCGCGACCGACGGCTGCAGGGGAGGCGCTACGCCGGTCGAGGTCGCGGTGCTGGCGGCCTGGCCGGGGCACCTCACCATCTACTGTGCAGGCACGGATGCGAACAGCCGCTAGAGGCGGCCGCAGCCCTGCCAGTCCTACCACACCTGGACAGAGGCCGTGCGGCTTGGATGATGCTGAGATGCTGCGCTGGGCCCGAGAGTTGCTGGGGCTGCTGATAGGTGAGCGGGATGCAGAACCCTGACCGCCATCATCCGAAGGCCGTAATGCCCTGCCTTTAACTGCAAGGGGGCTCTGGATGACTGGCTGAGGAGCTGCAGGCTTACACGCTGGCCCGGACCCTGAAGAGCTCGCACGGCGCGCAGGAGCTGACGCGCATCGTGTTCTCGTCATCACCGTTCTTAAGTGGCTTCACGGTAAGGTACAAATTCTAATTTCCTGTCATATGCATAAAAATGGCTGCGGTTAGCGCAGCAAAGGAAGCAAGCCTTTGTACAGTTCTTGGCGAACAGAAATCGCAATAACAAGCAGTTTGAAGCTAGCCAAAACATACGAAATTAAAGCATTACGATTTTTGTGACGATAATCCTTCAGGAAGATAGCAGTTGAAGCCGCCTACCTTGCCTTCCATGCCTTGAACATAAACATGCGAGCCGCGTTCACCGCAACAGCTGTCACGAGCGCTTTGGCCCCTAATGAACCGAACACATGGAGAACTAGTTTCCAGCTTGTGCCTCAATTACTACGACGAGGCCAGATAAATCGCTGTTTCTTGCCAGGTTGATGTTACTACCCGACTGCTTCTTCCGGTCCAGTGAGAATACCAAGGACATATGCTTTGGGAGGTGAGTCGAGGCATCGACCAAGTGGTCGAGTGTACGTGTACGTCACATGCCCTTTCGAGTCGAAGGTTGCAAAGCGGTTACATACTCGGCCAACATTTCCGTAGTCATACGTTATATTACTGGTGCTGTGGATTCAAGTGGGAGACCGTACTTCGTTTGGTTACCCTAACTAACCAGGTAGCTGCGCTGTCTCCCCTACCTTCTCTTTAGGTTCCCTGTACTCGCAGCCAAGTGATACGCAGGGCAAAATGAAGCGCACACGTTAGAAAAAAGTATGAACACTCGGCTCTGAATTCCTTGGCTGATTGATTTCTCGCGGCTTAGCCGTTACCGGCGGTTAGCCTGGCCTGCAGTGAGGTAGTGCAAGCCTCTTCCAGCTTTTCACCTGGTTCAGGCAAGGACTCCGTATCCACGTCAGTCGGCGGCGGTGTCTGTTAGCGGACAACAAACGGGTCGGAGGCTCAGAAGCTCGGAAGCTAGGAAGCTGCCTCGCTGGATCCCGTCCTCCATAAACTCCCCACGTCTGAACACACCCTCAAGCGGCATCACGAGCAACTGCGTTGAGTTGTGATGCAGTAAGTTGCATTAAGTCTCTCTCTTAAGGATAGAACGGTGGCTAAGACTCTTACGGCTCCTCAGCCGCGAGCAACCAAGTCGCCACAACCTTTTTTCAAAACAACTGCAAGTCGCAAAGGCCCTCATGCACGGACGTCTCCATGACATGCAAACGCAAACAACTGCACGCTGTGCAACACAATTATTAATCCCCTCCGCTTTTGGCTCTATCTCAATAGACCGCCAGCGGCACCAACACCAAGACCAGCAGTAGCAGTAACAACCCACCTGCAGTAAACGTACGGAGACACAGTAGAACGCAGTACATCACAGTACGTATCGGAGCCAACAACGAACAGTCCACCCAAGATTTGAAGTGCTGAAGTCGCAACCGCGTTGGGTTTACTTGTCTGTGTTGAACGGGGCATCGTGCAGTAGCCATAAACCTCTCCCTGACGACACACATACATACACGCACACAAACACACGCACACACACACAAACACTGCTACGACAGTGAGTCTAGGGCCTACATCGCGAGTCCACCCCCGGCCTGCTCCGGCCCCACCCGGGCATTCTCCATCCCGACTGACCGACAGACCGACCGACCGACTCACCCCACACCTCCACCTCGACTACTGCACTGCGGAGCTGGTTCGCACCCCCCCCACAGCCCCCCCCCAGCTGCCGGCATCATGGCGCCCTCGGGAGGCCAGGACGTCATTTGGGCCCCCCGGCAGCCGCCAACGGAGCCGCTGCAACGGCAGCGGCCGCAGCCAGCGCAGCTGTATCCGTGCTGGTGGCGGCCGAGGCCGCGGCCAACGCCTTCGCCTTTTTCGCCCTCCGCCTCTGGGAGGACCCCTTCTTGTACTTGTTCTTCCGGTTCTCCGGCGCCACCGCCCTGGTGGCCGCCGCCGGGTCAGCCGGCTGAGGCTGAGGCTGCGGCTGCGGCTGCGGCTGCGGCTGCCCCCCTGCCCCTCCCCCGCTGTGCTCCCCCGCCTGCACCTGCTCCTGGCCCTCCCCGGTCCTAGGTGCCGCCGCCACCCCTGCACCGGCCGTCGCCAAGGTGCCGCACTGCAACCCCCCCTCCACGTACTCCATTGCATCCGGGTCATCGTCCACATCCACACCGTAATCAGACTCGTCCCCCTCGGCATCGAACACATCAACATCGTCGTACATGGCCAGGACCTCCGCCGCGGGATCAGGGCCCCCTAAAACACCCCCACCACCCCCACCCCCACCAACAGTACCCCCCCCACCCCCACCCCCACCCCCACCAACAGTACCCCCACCACCTAAATCTCCATCCACAGTCGCTTCCTGCGCAACAGCGACCGCCTTCTTTCTCTTCCTCTGAGCTTTCCGTCCCGCGTTATTGCGCCGCCGCTTCTTTGTGCTTCCGGCCGCGGCGGTGTCGGGTGACGTCGGGGCCCCCGCGGGCGGCACCTGCAGTGCGGGCCCTGCCGCGGTGCCGGTGGTGGCTGCAGAGGCAGTGTCACCGCGGGCTCGCGTGTGCGGGCTGAGATCAGGTGCCCTGGATCCCCCAGGACAACTGCCACCAGCAGTGGCAGCAGTAGCAGTAGCAGTAGCAGGAGGTGACGCAATTGCCGGCGTTGGACTGCCATCAGCTGCCGCCGTACTGGACCTGGCTCAGCGACACAGCAGCCAGCATGCGCAGTGTCTCAAGTAAGGTTTTACGGCAATTCAATGGTTGATTCGCAATATTAGCATTACAGAGCTGCACCACTCACTTTTTCTTTCGCTTCTTCCGTTTCTTCCGCTCCGCCACCAGCGGCACGTCCGCCGCCTTCGCCACCACCGTACCCGCCGCCTCCGTCGCCACAGCCGCCGTTCCCCCCGCTACAGCCGTCTCCCCAACCGCAGTCCCCGACCCCGCCTTCTCCGCCGCCTTTGCTGCCGCAAGCCCCGACACCACCCTCTCCAGCGCCACTGCCGAGCCAAAGGGTGTCGGTCGACCCCATGCCTTCCGCGCCAGTGTCACCTGCTGCCCCTGTCTCCTGGGCAGCATCACCAGCTTCCACACCAGGGAGTACCGGGGTCGGCCCAGTGCGGCCCGGGAGGGGGGACTCAGGCGGTGCAGGATGTCCTGATCAAGCAACACGGCCCGGTAGGCCTGGTTGGGAGAGGGAAGAGGTGTAGGGGCGGACGAGGCGAGGAGAAAGGGGGTTGGGGGGTGGTCTTGTGTACGTCATGGTGAAAATGTGGCTGGGCGTTGGTTCGGGAGTAGCTAAGGGTGGGTGGAAAGGTGATCGAAAACACGGGCGGGAAGCACAGCAGCTGCCTGGCAAGTGAAGGACAACTGCAGACGCAGTCCGAGCAGCCCAACCTCCTGCCACACCCCCACCCCCACCCCCAACCCCACCCCAACTGGAGGAGCTCGCCCGTGCAGCTCCGAAGTACGTCCACCCTCCAGCGCCACCTCCCCCTTTCCTCTCCCAGCTCACCTTGGGTCTCACCACCACTCCGCAGTCACTGGGTGTGTCAAGGAACAAGGTCTCCGCGCCCCACTCGCGCTCCCAGCTGCGGTTGAGGTACAGCAGCAGACTCAGGAACAGCGGCCGACCGGGCTCCTGTCGGGCCGGGGGGGGGGGTGAGGGGCGGAGGGGAGGGGAAGGGAAGCAGGCCACACGTAAGCGGTTGCTCAGTCCCTGGGAGCCCAAGGGGGAGGGAAGGGCGGGAATCGGGAAGACACGCAGGAGCACAGGAGGGAGGAGGGAGGAGGGGAGCGGGTTGCACAGCGACACGAGCGGTAGTGCGGAGTGACAAAGCGAGATGTTGTACATACGGATAGGCAGTTGCCGTACAACCGAGACGCGGAACCAGCCGAATGAGGCTGTCCAAGGTCGTCCAGTTCGAACTGGGTCCGAGTACGAACGTCGTTTGCCTGGGGACCCACACCAACGTTATCTGCTGCGTCGTACCCGATTAACGTACTGCCCGTACGCCAGTGTCCATGGGGACGGGTACGGCAATGTTGACGGATCCGCGTCCACATGCCATGAATACGTGTCGCCGTACACTGCGGCATTTGCCACGAACCTGCAGCGACATCTCCCAATCCCCCAGGGGGCTGAATGTGATCGGAACGAAAACCGTTATACGTGGCGGCCGGGCAGGGGAGCGGGTACGGCGGGGAGGGTGGGTGAGGGTTTCGGGGGGACACGACACAGCAGCCTTCTTATTCCGTACTGCAGTACAGTACACAAGCGGGATGCCAGAGGCGAACCCTGTTGTTACCCCGGGGGGTACCGATAACCCGAACTCCTCCTTCGCCCTCGACTTGGCCCACCTGGCAAATGACAAATAACGACTCAAACGTAATGCCACCCATTCCCACCCCGCATTCGCCTCCCCTCTCCCCCCACCTCCCTTGCAGCCCCAGCCTCCTGCGGCCCCACTCACTGGTTGCAATCCACGCTGAGCCCGGGAGGCGCTGAATCGTCCGCCGCCTCCTCCCCAGCGTCCGCCCCCCTCCCAGCCGCCATGACCATGTCCCCGTCGCCTGCTGCCGCCGCCCCGTCTTCCACGCCTAACTGCTCTTCTCCCAAATTCCCCCCGTCATGCTGCCGCACTCCCTTGCACTTGCCCGAGGTCTGGATCTGGATCAAATCCTGGTTTTGGTTTTGGATTTGAACCTGGGAAGTGCATTGGTTCTGGATCTCGTCCGAGGGCATGTGGGCAATGAGGTAGTCTGGGTACAGCAGCTGCAGGCGGCTCTGCACCTCCACTCTTGCGGCTAGGGCGGTGGCGGCCAGGTGCCGCAGCCACTCGCCTCGTAGCCCCCAGGTGGGGTCCGCATCAGCCCTGTCCCGAGTGGCTCGCTCCCACTTGTCTCCGGGGGGGGGCATCTTGGGGTCCCAGTCTGGAGGGGGCCCACGGGGGGAGGGAAGAAAGAGGGGTGTGCGGGTGTTTGTGTACGTTTTAAGTTAATCTGAGCAGCGATACGGGAGCAGGCCGAAGTCCCATGTGTGTGTATGTATGTGTGTGTCCGGGGAACACCACAGGGAGGTTCAGGGGGGTTAGTGGGGTGGGGTGGGGGGCCTTGGGGGTGTGGTTTCTGGGTTGGGGTCTGTGAGAAGTCAGCGAATTCGGGGTCCGGGAGTTTGGGGGGTTGAATCGACCAAGTGGCGGAGGTGCAGGTGAGGATAGTGACGTGCGGAGGGGGAGCAGGGTGCAGTGCTGGGGAGAGTTTGGGGATTCGGCAAGTGAGTAACGGATCATCATCTGATACGGCAAGTGCCAAGGCCTGGAGAAGGTTCTACTCCGAGATTGCCCGCCGGCCTGCATGTTCAAAGGCCCCTAATACACACCTGGCTGGGTTATGAACTCCAGCAGCTCCTTCCGCTCCGGCTCGTCAATGAAATCGTCCAGCACGACCAGGTGGGCCTTATCTACCCGCGCGGCACCGGTGGAATCCGGCACGATGCAGGCGTCCAGGGTCAGGTTGAGGGCCACCCGCGTACTGCTGGGCCGCCAGGAGGTGGCGTGAGTTGCGATAGGCCGTAAGTTGAGGGGATTGAAAGGGGCCGGGTTTGCGGAGGAGGAAGGGCCAGCATTGGCTACGGTGAGGACCGCGTTCCCTGGTGGCTTTTGAGTTGATGTCAGCCCTGATGATGCTGCGTCCTTCATGGTTGCCACGGCAACGTAGCAGCCAGCGGCTAGTTGGAGAGGGAGAGAAGCTGTCCGCTATTGTGTGTGTCCGTAAGCCAGAGGTAAAACGTTAATCGGAAGTTCCAATTTCATGTAGGGACATGAAGACCAGATGCGTCACACGCTCTCGGTGTGCCTCCCGACGTTGCTGCCTCGGAACGCTCCGGACAATAGAAGCACGATTAATTTCATGCTATTCAATAATGAAACATATGCTCGTCTATACTGATTTCATCATTGCATGTATTCCTTACAGCTGAAGAAGGTGCTGCTAACGTGCGCTGAAGTAACCTGCTGCGAGCATGCGATATGGCAATAATAAAAATAGAAAACGTATGCATTTACCATCTGTTGCGAAAGTTCATAAAAACAGGAGTGCAGGGAGTGCAGGGAGCATGCAAGGACTACGTCATGAAGCGCCATAAGAAAGCATGTTCTCTGCAACACTTGGCTAAATATTTCTTCAAAATTTCTTGGCTAAATGTATATTTGAAAGAGCAAGACTTCCTCACTGCAAAGTTTGTTCCACAGGCTGATGTTATGCGATAACTCGATCACAGTGTAATCATTATCAGCTAATAGTATTTTAAATTTGGGAATATGGATATTCTACAGCAAATTGATAGCATACCAGATCCCGTCGTGGCTGACAAAGCCTGTAAAGCTGTTCAAGTCCTACGCAGAACATGCGCGCTGTATCCGTGAGTCCTGGCGGTCTTACCCCCATTTTGTGGAGGGAAATATCTTCCTCACAAGCGGTTCTTGCACCCTTGCTGGCACATGGTTTACATCGCAGGCTTGACAAAATTGCTTTCAGTTTCAATGGAGGCAAGGATTCAACGGTTTTACTACATTTATTGCGTGCCGCTGTGGCCCAGCTGGAAAATTGCACCGATTTGGGGGGTGCGTGTCGAACCCCTTGAACTGAAACCCTTGTTCCTGGCTCGTTGTGGGGATGACACCGGCTTCTGGGGTCCGCAGACACCCATGCAACTGACAATCCACCTTCTCCCCCTCTTTGCCCAGGACTGGGGGGTATCAAAAGCTTCTATTTCTGCAATGACGACGACTTCCCCGAGGTCAAGGACTTCGTGCAGCGTACTGATGCAGAGTGCGTGCAGAGCGTGGGGTGAGGCTGGAACGCCAAACTTGTCCAGTTTACAATCCGGTCGGTGCTTCTCTAGGGTGCGGGTACTGCTGGGCAGGACGAGACGGCCGTGGTTGCCCCTGGTCCGGAAGGGAGATCGCGAGGCCTCCTTGTTATTTCTCCCCTCCCTGTCTTCCCCCTTCTGCGCAGCCCTCCATGGATGCTCCCCCGCCTTGCCCGCCCCCTTGGTTGACCCACCGACACGCTGACCCTACGAGTGAATACTTGGTCGCCTCCCTAGTCACAAGCCCTACCAGCTGCGCTTGCTGGCCCCCTGTGCTCCCTACTCAACCCGGCACGATGCGGCGCAACCCCATAATACAACATAATAATTACTGTAATTATTTGTATAATAATGTAATATTAGTAAAATATGACAATAATGTGTTTCCAGGTACGGCCTGTGTGTGGAGTACCTGCGTCTGTCCGACTTCAAGCGGGGCCTGTGTGAGTACCTGGACAGGACGGGAGTGATGGCCATTGTGCTGGGGACAAGGAGGTGAGGAAGAGGGGGGAGGGGGAGGGATCTGGGCAGCGGCGACAGTCCGTGGGGAGGCGGGGAGTGATGGCGGGGAGGAGGAGCTGGCAACATCACATCAAGCGGTGCACACACGCGCACATATAGACAGACAGACAGACAGACATGTAAATACCCCAGGGCTATACCAAACTGGGACCTAAGGGCCCGCGAGCCATAGCAACCAGCATCACCACCTGCACAAGACCGTCCAATTGTGCCGTGCTGTGTCGTACTGCCGTACAGGGGCGATCCCAATGGCGGTAACCAGGACTGCTTCTGCCCCAGCAGTGACGGCTGGCCGCCCTTCATGCGGGTCAACCCCATTATTGACTGGACGTATCACGACGTTTGGGTGTTCCTACGAGCCACCCACGTGCCGTACTGCAGTCTGTACGACCACGGGTACACATCACTGGGCGGCACGGGAAACACGCTTCCGAACAGGTGCGTGTCTCAAAGCGTGCGTGTCTGTGTATGTGATGGAGAACGCGGCGGGGAACAGATGAGGTGAGGTGAAGCAGTTTTGTGGAGTTACGGGTGTTGTACGATTGCTGGGAGCACGGGGGGGCCATATGCGAGTGTGTGTTGGAGGGGGCAGGGGGGAGGGGGGTGAATTTGGACGTGGATACCGGGGCCCATGGCCTGACCGTCCCCTCACCTCCTCTGCTCCAAACCCCCCTTCCATCTCGTTGTGTCCCTCTCGCCACTTTACTCTTTCCGTCTGCCCCTGTCTGTCCGTCTGTATGTCAGTCTCTGGACTCTGGTCAGTGTTCCCCAGACACACGACTTCGCGACCCTGCCCCGGGTCGTCTCCTAGGTACAGGACCTGTTAACCGCAGGACCCCGCAGGGGTTACATCTTCATGAAATGACCTCTCAAGTGACTCCTTGCGTCTGCATGTATATCCTCTTGTCGTATGTCGTATGTTGAACTCTCTCTCCCGCCCTCACTCGCGCTTTCCCCCGCCGGGCGTTGTTACAAGCTTGTGTTGCCCTGCCCTCCCTGGATTTTCCCTCCTCCCTCCTCCTCCCTATTCCACATCCCCCCGGGTCCCCCTCTTCCCCCACCTCCCCAATCGGCCCTCCCCCCCACCCCTCAGTGCCCTGCGGAGCTCCGACGGCAGTTACGAGCCCGCCTACAAGCTGGCGGATGGGCGGCTGGAGCGAGTGGGGCGAGTGCACCCGGCCACACACAAGCAGGCGGCAACTCGGCACTCGCACCTGCACCCCCGTACACCACTTGCCAGCTCAAAGTGCCCGGGAGCGGTCCCGGGTCAGGAAGACAGCACCCACCCCCAGAAGGCGCAAATCGAAGGACAGCAGCAAACTGACGGGCTCGGCGAGGAGGGGACGGAGGAGGAGGGGGATGCGCGGCGGGGCGGCGGAGGGGCAGGAGGGGACGGTGCTGCACGAGAAGCGGGCTCGTCGTTGGCGACCAGCGGTGGTGGTGGGGCGGCAGGTGGTGGTGGTGGTGGTGGTGGTGGTCTGACTCACAGCGCCGCGATCGTTATCATCGGGGACGAGCTTCTGTCTGGCAAGGTGGGTGGGTAGGGGAGAGGGAGTGGGGGGTCGGGGCCCCTCTGGGCTCGCTTGCGATTATCATCACAATGTTCACTATGACTCCTCCCCCCGCACCCTCACTCGTCACGAATCCCTTACGAGCCAAGCGAAGGTCCGCTGTGCTCCGGAACCCCAGCCGACACACACACACACACACACATCCCACCAACTCCCCCGGTCCTCTTGTCGCCTCGTGTCTCTCGGCCGGCCCCGCCTCCTCCCTCCCAACGTCCCCTGGCTGCTACTGCCCCTGCTGCCCCCAGGTCGAGGATGTGAACGCCCGCTTCCTTTGTCGCGAGCTGAGGTCCCTGGGCTGGCAGGTGGGGGCAGGTGGTTGCGAGGGGTAAGGAGCTGAGTCCGCGGACGTTGTGCCACTCATTCTCGGTACCTCCCTCAACCAAGTCAACAACAACGTTTCCCTTCCCCCCTCCCCCCCTTACCGGGTCCCCCGCCACACACACCAGGTGACACGTGTGGTGTTTGTTCCGGATGACGTGGATGAGATTGCCTCGGCGGTTCGGGCGCTGGCGGCTGTGGTACAGCTGGTGATTACGGCGGGGGGCATAGGGCCCACACTGGATGACGTCACCATGCAGGCAAGCAGATGCGGGGTTAGGGGTCAGGGCGGGGAGCAGCGCAACGTGTGAGGGAGCCGGGTGCTGGAGCAACAGTTAGGGAGGAGGGATAGAGTGGGGAGGGGGCGCCGGGGGCCGTGTGAGCTGCGGGAATGGACTCAGTGAGGGCTGGGGGGTGCAGGGGGCGGGGGCTTGATGTCGTGTGGATGAGGATGGGCTTTGTGACGTGGGGTGTGTAGGGTGTGAATTCTCCTGCCAAGCTGTGCCCTGGCCAGTTGAGTCTCCTCCACCCCGGGGTCCTCCACCCCTTCGAACCGTGTTCGCTCCCTCCGCAGCCTCGTCTCGTTGTCACTGCCCCTGGCGGCACTCCTCACTGCCCCCGCCCCCCCTTCGCTTCACTCGCTCGTGGTTCGTTTTCCCCCCCCCCCTTCATGTGGGCCCTGCAGGGTATCGCACGAGCTGTGGGGCAGCCCCTGGTCAGGTACCTCAATGACATACATACATACAGACCAGACAGACATACCGTCTTACAGAGTTATACATAAAGATTTAAAATGTCTTAGATTTAAAGGAGATGTATACACATACAACCATACAGACAGTCAGACAGACTGAGGGAATGATACAGTCATTCCGACATACATACATACATACATACATACATACATACATACATACATACACACATAAAGGCGTCCTTCTTCTTCCTTCCCCCCAATGTTGCTGTTGCTGCTGTCCCCGCCCCCTCTTCTTCCCAATGCCCCTTTGAGGCTCCCCGCACTGGTTGAGAGGCTGTCCTCCTACTTCGGCGGTCCGGCGGCCCTGAGTGAGGCCCACCTCAAGATGGCTGAGGCGCCCCAGCACACGGAGCTAATTGACTACACACTGCCGTACAGCGACCATGTGTCCAAGTTCCCCCTGATGAGGGTTAACAACATCTACGTGCTGCCGGGTGGGTTGGGGGGATCGGGTGGTTGGGGGGTCGGGTGGAATAGGATTTGGCCCCCAGCGGGGCGGGGCGGGGCAAGGGAGTCCCGGTACAGCCGGGTGCCTGGTGCCCCTAACCTGAGCTCCCACCCTAGGACGTGCAAGGGGGCGGATAGGGGGCGGCGGGGCATTAGGAGGGGGGGAGAGGTAATGGGGGGGTTCATTGAGTGGCAGTGGGCGGCGGTGGTTAGTGATGAGGGCTGGTGAATGGGTGGGAAGGGTAGGGGAGCCAGCGGTGTTAGACGAGTGTGTCAGTCCGTCCGTCAGTCGGTCGTGATCGGGCGAGTGTAGCGGGCAATGAGCCCCTCCCCCGTGGGCCGTGTAGCTTCCGCCGTACCGCCCGCTCTAAGCCCTGATGGGGAGGGGGTGTCTGGCTGCCCGGGCCCTGTGCAGGTGTCCCCTCGCTGCTGGTTCAGAAGTGGAACGCCCTCAAGCCCCGGCTGCAGGAGGCGGCTCTGGCGCCCTTCAGGAATGCCACCCTAAGACTTTCTGTCAAGGTACGGAGGCGCCCGTTGGGGGCGGGGGCGGGGGCGGGGGCGGGGAGCTGACGGAGGGGGCTGAGTGCTNGCAGGCTGGGTGGCCGTTGTGTGGGTGGGGCCGTGCAAAGGTAGGGATGCGGGCGCATGTGACCACCATGAGCGCCGTCCGCCGGTGGCTTCACCCCTTCACCCCGTTACCCCACAACACCCGGGGCTCCCGATTCCTCCTGCCCTATGTACGGCACTGCAGGACGAGACCACCATAGCCCCGGCGTTAGTGCGGGTGGCCTCCAGCCACGGTCTGGATGTGGCGGTGGGGTCGTACCCGGTGGACCAGGGGATCATCATCACACTGGGTGAGGGGGTGAGGGGGGTGAGGGGGGAGTTCTGGTGCTTCCCTGGCTAGACACACTCCTGCAGCTTCCAGACCGTGCGCACACGACCCTAGGGTGGCGGTACTCCTCCCCCCTCGCTGGCCTTGCCCTCGGGTCCTAGCTTGACCCCTTTGCTCTGCTGCACATGGTCTGATTTCATATTTCACTCCAATCGGCTAGATCCCCACCTTGCCGTCGCCTCACCTCGGCCATGTTTTCAGTCCATATTGTTTTCACATAACGCGTCACTTCCTGATTAGCTGATTTCCCGTTAGCCATTAGCACACGTCATCAGTGTGGAGTTATTCGACCTACGTTATTTACGTTGGGTTGTTGCGGTTGTCCTCCGCCTCCTGTCCCGAATCGCAGACAGCAAAAACTCCGAGAAGCTGGAGGCGGCCATTGCAGAGATCCAGCAGCTGCTGCCCGGGGAGGCGGTGGTGGCGCTGGAGAGGGATGTGGACTCCCTGGCGTGAGGGGGAGGAGGGGGGCAAGCGGTGGGGGAGGGGGGAGGGGCAGCGGAGGGAGGGAGAAGGGGAGGAGAAGGGGAGGGAGAGGGGAGACTGGCAGTCGGGTGCGGCTAGGGAGGCAGTACGGCGGCGTGCAGGTCCTTGTATGCTGTATTGCGCGGGGGTGCTGGTGGTGGTGGTGGTGGTGCTTTTTGGTGTTCCTATGCTGCTGCTGGTACTCGGTGAAGCATCTCGTGCAGCCGAGTAGCCACTTACCGGCTGCCGGGCCGCTGAAAGCTGAGGCATGGGGCTGGTGAGACTCTCCGCTGGATACCGATGTGCCAACATCATGCGAGTCCTAAAGCCCCCCCTCCCCAACAGCCAGCTTAGTGCGTGGGGACTAGGTAGGGCCTAGGGTGGACGGGGTATGAGGGTCCTTCGTTCGGCGCACGTTGCCACTTAGGCGGTGGCATGGGAGAGAGAGAGGTCAAGGAGTCAAGGGCAGTGGGATATGCGGCCCGGCCTGTTGGCCTGCTGGTTTCGGACTGTTGAGTGCCGCTGCTGGGAGCCCAAGGGCTGTAGGAGGAGGTGAAGGGAGTCCGAAGTGCTGCACTGCACGGAATCGCAAGCACGCGAGACCCCCCGGCAACTCTACCAGGCTGGTATCGTGTTTCGCAACAACATATTGGACAGATTGACGTTTGAACACGTCTGACTTAACAGCAGCTGGAGGAGAGAAGCACGTGATAAAGATAGAATTCACAAAAGCCAGTTCGCTTCCTTATCATTTCGAAACTTTAGACGTTCAGATCTCTTGGTTTGCCGAACAGCCAAATTGGTCTCTAATTCCGTTGCTTGTAGGTTGGTCGTTGAGAAGCTAATCCGTTTTCAGCATTCCGGTTCGCTCCGCACTTCGCTTTGGTCGGAAATGGCCCTTGCGAAACTCCGACACTGCAATTACGAGAACTTGGTGTCATTTTTTAGCAGACCAGTCTACTACGAGTTTAAGTATGCGGTGCCTGAAAGCTCACCTTTGCACAGAAATAAAGTTGCGTAAAGGACATGAGGTTCACTAAATGGCCGTTGTGCGAGTAGGCTATCTGCTAATCCAGGCAAACGTCGGTTGTTCTCATGGCAGCTCAGGAATGTCCCTCGCGCCGTACAAAGGGCAATCCCAAACTAAGGCATCATCAACTAAGACATATTACTAGCTACAATTACTGGCAGTTTTGTCGCCCGCGGCGAACCTGCGCATCGCGAGCTGACCATCCCGTGCCACCTTCTCCGCCGTGCCTGGGCCTGAGCTGCGCTACCTGGAGAATCGCAAGAGACCATGGAGCTACCCTCGTCCAATGCAACGGCTCGGGGTCCGTTGGTGGCCAGCCTGCAGCTGTCCTTGACACGGCCGTACAAAAGTCCCCGGGCGTTCAGCACCTTTCCTGGGTTGGCTTGCAGGCGGAAGAGATGCCCGCGGATATGGACCCAAGCTCGGTAAGGGAAGCAGCTCCTTGCAGACCGGCGTTGGGTCGTGAGGTGGACAGCTGGTGTAGAGTCCGGTAACTGTTGGAGGGGAGTGGCCAAGCTTGAAGCCCCTTATTTCCCTCCATGCTTGCACCCAATAGCCCTTTACCTCCGTCGCACTTGGGCTCCCCCACCCTGACCCCGGCCCTGACCCTGGCCCTGACCCTGGCCCGCCAACACATGAGCGCACACAGGTTCACCTGGCGGTGGAGATGCTGGAACGGCTATACGACGTGCCACTGGTCGCGCCCCGCGTCTGCCTTAGAGCAGCTCGGCTGCGCCGCCACCTCGGCGCCGCGACCGCTGACCGCGGAGGTGGGGACTCCGCTCTCCGGGCACAACAGCCCGCGGCGGCACCACCAGCTGGGCATTCGGCACCGGCATCCCGTCCCCCACCAGGTTCTCAGCAGCTGCAGGCAGCAGGCGGACTCAACACAGCAGCCCTGGAGCCGGTGCCACATCCCTTGCAGCAGCAGCAGCAGCAGCAGGAGGAGGAGGAGGAGGAAAAGTTGCAGCAGTACCAGCAGCCGAGGCAGGGAGTATCAGGTCCAGACACGCAAGTCATGTGGGACGGGTCAAGTAGGGAGGAGGATGCACTGGATGTGGAGGCAGAGGACAACGAGGCAGGAGGAGGTCCTAGCCGCAGGGAAGTGGAGGGGGAGGGGGAGGGGGAGGGGGAGGGAGAAATATCGTCGCCATCATCGTCATCGTCATCGTCATCGTCGCCAGGGCGGATTGTGACCACCGACCCACGGGACTTCCCCTCACTGCCACCTCACCGCCTGGCAACCCTCTTGCTGGACTGCGCGTCCAATAAGGTGCCACTGCGCGTCTCTGTCGTACAGGTACGGCACGGCGCGTTGTACGTTTGTCGTCAAATTGTAGAAGTGGGTTGATAAAGTGAGTTGGGGTTCAGGAGATACCGTATTTTGGGGTGTATGTGGGCCACTACTGCTGGCGGCAGCGGATAGCAAGGTGATCATCAATGTGCGCGATGGCGAGCAGCAGCATCCCTTTCATATCACGTCTCGTCATGTCACTCCCCAACTGGCCGACGCCCCTTGCAAGTGCCACTCTCCAGTCCTGTGACGACCCCCCAATACCCCCCCCCGGTCCCTCCCTGGTGTATTGCCTTCACACGGGCCGTACATGGTTCACCCTTCCACAACGTGGCTCTACATAATACTAAACAAGTCGTTCGTCACAGTGGTGTCGTACAGGGCGTCAGAGCTGACGGCGGACGAGCTGATTTCTGTCCTGGATGGGTTGGCGAGGTACAGCTTCACGTCCAGGCCGCTGCTCAGCACCGGCACCAGTACTGGCAGCACTGCTCCGGCAGTGCCTCCAGCGCGGCGCAGGGCCGGTGATGCGGCTCCCCGAACCAGCGGTCGCGGCAGCTCCCGCTCTTCCTCCGCCTCCTCCTCCTCCCGCTCTTCCGGTTGGGCTGATCCCATACTGAAGGCTTTCCTCCTCCGCCTCCAGCACAACGAGCGCCCCTCACAACCGGCTGCAGATGCCGCCGCAGTGGTACCGGCCCCTGGGGCGCTGGGAACGAGGCCAGCAATCCGCCGCATCAATCGCACCAGCAGTAGCACCAGCAGTAGCATCACCGAGCCCGGTGAGGGCTCGGCCGATGGCACACTGAGGATAGCGTCTCTTGATCCGGCCCGGCTCGTCCAGCTGGTAGATCTGCTCGTCAAATTGGACGTACGGCCACCGGCGGGCTGGTTGGACAGCTTTCTAGAATGCTCGTCCCGGGTGGTCTCAAGGCTGCACGGCACGGACCTCGTACGTCTGCTGGACCTTCTGGTGGCACTGGCAACAGCGCCGGCGGCGGCATGGTGGGATGCCGTACTTGATACCTGGCCACCGGCGGGGCGCTCCCGTCTGCCGACTGCATTGTCGAAAGGGGGGGATGCCGTACAGCAGCCATCATCCATTGAGGTTAGGTGCGCCATCATGTACGGCATTCTAAGGCTGGGCTCGCTACGGCCGGCTGGTGCGCTACTGCCAGCGCGCCTTCGTAGCTGGGCCTTGGCGACAATGTACGACATTGCTCGGGCGGTGCTGGTTTCGGGGCAGCTTGCCGCTGCTGTGACTGCGCTGGATGGCGGGGCTGACGGCGTTTCAGCTGCAGGGACTGTACGGCTCAGCGCGTCGGCGGTTTCCCCGGATGCACCATCACCTCCTCCACCTCCACCCCATGCAATCGCCCAGGCCTTGGCCTCCCTACCCGCGGTCCTACCCCAGAGCTCGCGGTGGGCCTCTACCCCCTCAGGTGCGGTCCAGTGCCGGTAGTCGGTGCAGCGGTGAAGTGATGTTCTCGGTGGAGCTCATGTGAGTGTGTAGAGAGGGGGACCGGGTAGCAGTGCGATGATGACCAGACGAGGTGCGCCACACTGTGCGCCATTTTGCTCTGCAGCACTTACAGCACTTACACACTCGCAACGCTTGCAGCGCGTTTCCTTCTTTTCTTTTTTTGTTTACTGTACCCATGTGGGGGGGGGCGACATGTGTCCCCATGTGCGCGCATACATACACACACATACATACATACAGGCATACACATGAGCTATGAGTTAGAAAAGCCTGCATGTCATTATGATACGCATTTGCACACCATGAAGATACATGCATAGAGTCTCCACGCTAGCACATACATACAGATGTGTGTACACACGTACGTACATGCACACAACACGCATGTTTGTTTTGCAGAAGGCGGGTGTGGTGTGCTGGCGGTGCTGGTGGCCGCGCTGGAGCCCCAGCTGCAGCAGCTGGGCCCCGAGCTGCTGGTGGAACTCTTAAGAGGTGAAGAGGGGGGGGGGTGCGGGTGCCTATCTGGGAAGTGAGGGAGGAGGTGCCGCAGGTAGGCCACCAGCGCTGGGTGAGGGGTCCCTATAACCGTGAAACAGCCTATCAATCATCAATATGTAGTATAGTTAAGGCGTATTTGCAATCCTTATGTTCATTCTCAACCACAACCCTGCCAAAGCCCAGGCATTATTTTTTGGCTCACCAACAGGGTTCGACACCCCGTACGGGGCCCGTAAGTGTTTGGCCTTTTTTCGGTATCCCCGTCAGGGCCCGTAGGACTTTTCGGTGGCTGCCGTAAGGATTTTGGGGCGCGAAGCGCCCCGTACGGGGCCGCCCCCGGACCGCCCGAAGGCCGGTTACGGTGGCTCCCGTAAGGATTTTAAGGATTTATAAGAGGCCGTACGGGGCCCTGTAGGGGAGAGGACGGACCATATAAAGGATAAGGCCACACACTTGGCAGACATAATTCATATTGCAATATTTAACTACACTTTTCATAATACTTTTATAGCTTCTGGTCCGTAACATCCAGCGATGGCAGACAATGAGTCACCAATAATATATGACGCAAATCCCAGCGTTAGGGCAAGCATGTATAGCACATATAAACGTTGTGCAACAGGGCCCCCAGGTCTCACTTACGTACCCTTGTCGGCCGCCCTCGGGGTGCGGCTGAACTGTTACCCGCTGGGGTGGCCTTGACTTCATTTCTACCTTTCTTTTGCCTTTGCCCTTTTCTGCTTGCTATATACCTCCTTGCCTTTAGGATTTCTTCCAAATTAAATTTTTCTTTCATTTCTTCCTCTGTACAGCATACGACAGTAACGCATACAGCACTACGGCAATTTCCCAGCTCGGTCTTCTGTTGGTTCTGTGCACCCTTGCCCTCGCGCAATTCTCCTCCTGGTCTTCTAGCCTTGGGCACTTACATGCACGCCATGCCACTACTCGGGACTTTCCTTTTCCCTCTACCTCTACTATCGCTGACTTTTTTCCTTTTGTTCCCGCCTTTCGGATGTCATCGTTGCTGCCGTCTACCCTGCTAAGGTAGGAAGCCGTTAGTAGAGCTGCACACCTTGTTTACGTTGTTTTGGGAGGGGGAGCGCTTTCCGCATCTTGCAATCACTTTGGGGGCTAACAGCAACTCGTAGCCAGAGGCGATCGGTTTACAATATCCCTAATCACGAGGTCACTACTACTATGTACGACACATCTCCGGCAGCAGCGAGCGCCCTTTGGCATAATGTCGGACATCAACGCACAGCTGCCACAGGACAGCCCCCGGTGGGGGTGTCGGTGAAAGTTTGCGCACCTGCGTTCTTGCTTTAGACACCGGCAGTTTGCAACTTTGGATATCGGCAGTTTTTTGTCTTGATTTTACACATGATGGTCATCCCTCGGAACCAGTTGCCGCACGTCCTCGTCTACCTGGCTTGGTGCACGCTTACCACTTTTGCCGCGTGTTCTCCATCTCCCTCCCTCCCTCCCTCCCTCTCTCTATCCCTCAAAGGTCTGGCCGCCTCCCGGCTCCACCCGGGTCCCCGCTTCCTACTGCTGCACGCCATGGTACTCAAGGGCCGGGCTGCACAGCGAGAGCTCTCACCATTGCAACTGCTGACGGTGAGGGGGCAGGTGATGGTGTGGTGGTGTATTGCTCGCATGCGGTGGGGATAAGGGTGCAATTTGATGTAACCAGCTAGCCTAAAGAACAGCCGCCGCATGGGTAGGGTCGGCTTGGTGCAGTTTGTAGTCAGTTGTTTTCATTTCGGGGGCCACACTCCCTCCCTCCCTTTCATGGTCCTTGTTGTGCTGATACCATCACATACTGACAATGCTACTGCTTACCCTACCCTATTATACCCTATCCTACCCTACCGTACCCTTCCCTACCTGAACCAGCTGCCTGTATCGTTTCCTGCACCCTTTCCCCATCCGCTCTAACACACCGCTGCTGCATGTGGCCGATATCTGATGCACGCTGCTGTGCGGCTGCTGTGTGGCTGGCTGAGGAGTGCTCGGGTGGGCCCCTGACATGCTGCTGGTTGGGGCGGCTCTCTGCACGCAGGCGGCCAAGTGCTATACCAAGCTGGGCCTGGCTGTCCGAGGTAGTGACAGGGTATCAGTAGCTGGTGGGGACCGCGTGTGAGGACCAGTGGAACAGTAGAGCAGTGCAGCAGTATTGTATTGTGGTTACAGTATTTCCGCCGCCGACGCGGCGGGTGCCCTCACGAGCCGTGAGGCTCCAGAGCACGCTGTTGACGCTCATCAAAAACCTCAGTAAGGAAAGTAGCGATTTTCCTCGGATTGGTATTAAGAAATACCTTGCGCATATCAGTATCTTCAACGTTAATCAGAAACCTATTACGCAACTCAGTATACGCCTCACACTCCATGAGCACATGATATTCATCCTCAACCTTACCCGACGTACAGACCTGACACGTACGGCACTCTCTCGGCCTATGGTGTCCTTTGTTGACCTCCAAAGGCCAACAACAAAGACGGAATTTGGCAACCATACGCAACTGGTTGACCGGCAAATAAACACGCAAATAGCCTGTGGGATCGGAGCCCTCTCTTGCTGGTGAAGGGGAGCCCATCCAGTTATGATACCTGCAAAGCGAAACCCCTTTACCTTGGAACACACGCGGATCACCCCCTTGGCTGAACTGATCCCAGTCACTTAAAAGGAACGCAGATAACCTCTCCAGAACCTCACCCACTCGAATCAACTGAGACGAGTATACATCTACCTTCTGAGAAACGGAGTCACACGCCGGCCACTCATGGCCCAACCAACGCAAAATGATGAGCACTTTAGACGACCAGCAATCCACTTTGAGATCAGACAGAAGAGCCAGACGGAGATCATCTACTAACACGTCATGATAGACCGACCCACGGGACTTGACTATCTTATTCCAGAAACACAACGCAAGGCGTAACCAAAAGTACTGCAAAGGCAACTGAGACAGCTCCCTGTACAACAGCTTGTAAGGTACCTGCTTGAGCCCAGCACAACGTAAACAGAAGTCACGCTGGACCTGGACCATACCATCTTCCAAAGCCAAATCAAAATATGACTTACCAGCGGGTAAAACACCTTTACCTAACCGCAGGACGGAAACAATCCTATCAGGACCCCAGACCTCAGCACCATAACAGAGAACCGAACGGACCTGGGTGTCGAACGCTTGAAGCCGAACGGCAGGAGCCCACACCCTGTTCTCATCCAACCGATTACTAAGACCGAACATAGCCCGTCGCCCTGCTTCCAAAAGTTCGTTGGCACAACTCGCAAACGGGGACGCAGGGCCCCAATAGAGACCCAAGTACCTAACGCGACCACACCAGTTAATAGGACTAGGAACAAGTAAACTACCAACCATGGGTGGGTGCCAAAGCGACCCATCAGTACGGAGAGGAAGCATGAGCCTCACCCCCTCAAACGCCCTCTTAACGACATCAACGGAAGCAGCCACAACAAGGGCCTCACATTTCCGAACGTTGCAGCGCATACCAAAAGCAGCACAGAACTCAATAAGCAGCTTAAGCGAGAACTGGAGGCGTGCCAACGAGGTCGCGAACAAAGTAAGGTCGTCTGCATAGAACAACAGAGGCAACCGACGATCATTAATGACAGGACATTCGTGTGCACGTGTGTTGAACCATTCGTCCATACCATCCCTCGCTTCAAGGTAGTCGGCAATAACCTCAATGAAGAACCCGAACAAATTGGAACTCATGGACAACCCCTGCTTCACGCCCTGCAGAGAGGCAAAGATGGACCCTAGNCGACCGTTAACCTTGACCCGTTGGAGAACACGTTCATAGCTGGCTTTAAGGGCCGCCAACATGGGTCCATGCACACCCCTCTCCTCAAGACGCTGCCACAGGCTTGCCCGGGGCACTCTATCAAAGGCTTTCTCAAAATCCACCTGACACGCATACAGGGCCTGATTGCTGCCGGGCCGCTCATAACGACTTTTAAGATGACGAACAACGAACAACTGATGAACTGTACTGCGCTTTTGACGGGACCCAGCCTGAAAACGGCACCGGACACCATCTTTATCCCCGAAAGCTGCCAGCCGCCTGTCGAGAACCGTGGCATAGCATTTGGCAATGGCGCATCGCACAGCTAGACCCCTGTAGTTGTCCTTGACCCTGGGGTCGCCTTTCTTAAATAACGGACTGAGAGACGCCACGCAAAACTGGTCAGGCACATCCCCTGTATCCCAAATGTGCTGGAAAAGGTCTCGAATCGCAGGGGCAATAACATTGACAGACACCCTGTCCTCGTCACCTTCACGAGGGATTCGCTTGGCATACTTGTAGCACTCGGCCGGAACCATACCCAGACCCGGGGAACGCCCATTAGACAGGGACGACAAAGCCGCCTCAACCTCTTCAAGAGTGAACGGACCATTCATAGTGTCGGCCATAGACCGTCTAGCATGCACCGGTTCGGAATCACGCCACGCCGCCCCGACTTGGGAGCCCGCACCGAGATTGATACAGTTGAGAATGGCACAGACACGGGCCTCCTGCACCTCATCGAAGGAGGCTGAGGCATTATAAAGGCGATCGAAGTAGTCCGTCCACTCCGACACGTCTTCCACATTGCATCTGGACGCTGGCTTACCGTTCAGACGTTGCCATAGGGTCTTCGCATACCGTTTGCATGTAGCTATGAATAACTCCAAGGCTCGCAGCCGGTGATCCCGTCGCGCGTTACGCTTAGCACGATTAAACTGACGACGTAACTCTTGAAAACTCGTATGCCCCATAGCCGGGGCAGCACACCCCCACTTCATCACATCAGACCGATACTGCAACATGGCC